TTGGCTGTCTGATTTTGAACTATTTTAAACTTTATAAACAAAACCTTATGTTCGACCCTAACCCTACAGTAGGTACAATCGTACCTATTATTATTCCTCCATGAAGGAAATTAAAATGGTTTTTTGTTGGGATGTTTTGTAATACAATTTGGGATACGTAGGTAAAAGTAAAGCAAAACAAAGCCACGGATAAAAAATGTAAACAGTGTACCAAAACACAAAATTGAGGATAAAACCACGTGCGACTTTCCGAATAACAAAGGGCGCACTGTCGCTATCCCTTCTATTTCGACGTTGAAATCGTAATTTCAACCACTCTAGTCTAGTTGAATTTATTTTCAACGGTAGAGAAGTTATGACGTTTCAATGACGTATATTAGTAGTTCATGATAACACCGATAGATGGTTACGATCGCAATTTCGACGCAACTACTGAAATTTCAACCGTCGAAATCAGTTAGAATCGGCCCCCAGTAACATGTGGTGTACAGTGTGTCTATCTCTCTTGATTTGTGTAATATAAATTGGGAAGAAATTTAAAAAGAGCCATCCTGTGTTTTTACCATAATTCGAGGATGCTGAATCTGTATCAGTCGGATGCGCAGCTAAATTTCACCTCCTTGTCGCCCCAAATTCGGCAAAACAAAGTGGCGGCATCGAATGTTATCATATCTTACTACCTATGTAAGATAGAAAAAAGGTAAAAACTGTTTATTTTAGATATTTTTATGTAGAATCCAATGGCGTGATCAAAAATTTTTTGTTCACTTGTTTCTGAGATTTGGCCCAAGTTTTTTATTATTTTTTAATGCAACACCCTGTATCTCTTAACTCTTAACAAGATATGATGACGTTTCAAAAAGTGAAACTTTTCGATTTCACGCTGTATCTCAGAAACAAAAGTAGCTAGATTGATTCTATTTATCGTATTTAAAGTTTCACAAAAGAGGGACACAGAGTCGCGTAAACTGCAAGTCACTATCTATAAAAACAACAGATACCTTGCAGTCTCAACCACATAGGACACACTGTACATGGAAAACAAAATTGATCTTAATTAGACACATTGTAGCATTGTGATTCTGTATGGGCTTATTTTGAAATATTGCATGAACTCTATGATGTAATGTAAAAGCTCGAGCAATGAGGATTGGCTTCTTAGAGTTTTTTATTTATTTCATTTATAAATTGTGTACTGTTGTATTTAATACAAATATTGTGTATTTCAATACAACAGTTTGATTATTCTTTTCTATGTCTTCAATTTTACATGTGGACTGGTTTTCTGCGAAAGTTGCTCTACCAATCCCTACAAACTCTCTTTGTCATCATCTACTCACGATACACTTACAACGGTATGCTCTTGTGCGTTTCAATTATGTTGGACATATTTGGAAGAGTGGTGCCTTAGTACCACGAAACACTGAAGGATTAGACTTTCGAGAAATTGTAGGATTTGAGGAGAAAGGTCTTTCAACAGTTTATTGCGCTTAGACCCTTCAACTATACTTTTCCAAAATTGTTGTCTTGTTAGCTTAAAGTAACAACAGCCGTTATTATTTTGCTTACATCTGGAAAAACCTCATCTTACAGTTAAATTTAGCACTACTGACCTTGAGAAGGAGATTATCGATGGTAAGGTATCGAGTCATAGGTTCTAACTTGACGCAATGTCAATATATTATTAGGGTACCTATACCTTTTTTGGATTCAGAGACAGATTCGAGGTCGTTACGCTAAAAGTCGCACTTTTTCCATTTTTTTCCCTTTAATTTACTGAACCTCTTCCTAAACAAGCAAATGCAAGATGAGCATTTCATTTGTTACGACAGTACACAATTTTTAGCATGAAGCTCTCAGTATAGCTGGGGTATGGTAGCTTTGTAATTGTAGGAATACGTCTCAATTTGAGGCTAGGAATTAGTTTACATTGGTAACTGTCCAGATTTCGCATTTGTATCTATGTTTTGGTTTTGCAATAAATAATGTCAGCCGCGTCGAAAATCTGGATATGTTTAAAATACAACTGTGAAAGTCAATTCACTACATGAGCAATTTCAATGGAAATAAGATGAAAATGTTCTGCTTGAAGGTTTTGTAATACAATTTGGGATTACATCTACTTCCTCTCTTAGGGCACAAGCGTGTTATCGCCGATTATACCATTTGCTACCGTATTAGTTCCGGCAGTAACGATCTATTGTAAATCAATTCAAAACGTTTACGAACTGAATCCCGCCCTTTATATAATCGCTTTTGGTATGGTGGCGGCCAAAGTCACGAATCGACTTGTGGTACGTACATTAATTATGCTCTGGCAGAGTTAACTCGTCTTGCAGGTTGCGCATATGACAAAAAGTGAAATGGAATACATGGATTGGTCACTAATAGGTCCCGCCATGCTGTTCCTCAATCAGTATTTTAACACATATATCCCAGAATACATCGTACTGTGGTTATGCTTGGTAAGTCGCTTACAATATTACGTGTGATAATACTCTGTTTTTAGTTATGGGCTACTTTCGACTTAATACGTTACTGTACGCAAATTTGTAGCGAAATATGTGATCACTTACATATAGAGTTGTTTAGTATAACACGTGTCGGGCGAACCGCCGTGGCAGCTTCCAGTATGCCACCAACAGAAAAGAATGGTACGGCAGCTAGATCGATCAAAGCACGAAGTCGTAAATATTACTAAATACACTTTCCTTAGTTGTATCTCTGTTCATTGTCTAACATGTTGGGGGCCTCTGTATTAATTACATACACTACACGCGCACACGCCACCTCATTTGCATGTACAGTAGAAATTGTTTGTGCTTTGTAAATGCCAGTGCAAAAGTTTCTAGTATGGGAAATTTTTTGTTGTGCTTCCATTATACATTAACAAAGTTCCATTGTAAATACAGTGATACAAAAAAATGTCTAGTTTTTGGTTTCCTTCATAGTGGCAATAATTTTTGGTATTCACACTATGCTTTATTTATTCAAAGTGTTCCGGTGATTGTAACGGTAACATAGTGCCAAGACGATTTACTTTCTCATTAAGCCAATTTCTTTAAAATTCGTTAACATGTATTATGTTTACACTTTTGTATAAAATAAATACTGCCGTGTAGTCATTCATTTTTATTAAACATTTGTCCGACGACTTTTCTTAGTGTTGCAGTTGCTTTTAGGTTCAATCACTCACTCTGGACATGAAGATACACTTCCACTAATTGAGTATTGTAGCGATACTTAACACATGCTATGTAAATATTAAGTGTACTTATGATGCGTTCATATTATAATATTCACTGTATTGGAACCTGTTTTCTTCATACCAAATGGAAGATTTTCACCTCGAATAGATTAGTTAAAGAAGTAGGTACTTTAATGAATCATTGTAACAAGAAAAAATACAAATAAATGTTTGACTCTTACCCCTTCCGCTTTGTTCCGCCCTCTTTTTCTTTCTATAGTCATGGCTAAGCTACTTATAAGTCCATCCCATTGCTCTTGCTTGATATGTTTCTTCTACAATAGTATTGTTATTTCATTACATACCTAAACTATGCTCTTTAGCTCAATGTGTATTTGCAACTGTTGCCTTTTTCGAGTGGAATATTAACTACATTAATTTTAATTAAACGTAGTCTTGACTTAATTTTTTTAAGCAACCATTTGCATATTAAGATTGCTAAAAAAATGTATTTCACAAGGTCTTATTTTCTTACTTGTCTTCATTCGTTTGCAAAAAAGGAAATGGACACTTGTTTCCAGTAAACTCTTTCAAAATGGAACAATGATTGTGTTTTGAACTGTTTTAATGTGTCGACCAATACTAGCCATATGACGGTCACAGCGCGAAATTGTGTTCGCACAACAAAATTTGGAATTCCAACCCTTTTTTCCTTTCCAATGTGTGTTTTTAGAAAAGCCATAAAGATTAGGTACTAGATTACATGCACTTTTAGCTGCACCTTTGGAAAATGTGATAATACCCAGCTGAAATGGTGTTGGAAAATCGAAATTTGTGTTGGTGTGGGGATTAATGATATATGCATGTAAACATAAAAAGTAAGGAAAAGAAATAAAACTAATTATAGGTATCTGTTATTAACATAGTTCTGTCGTGAGATCTATTTTGTAGTTCTACAGTACCTTTTTTAATTTACTAATGATGCAACCGAATTGTAGATTGGCTCCAAAAACGAATTTAAATGAAGGAATAGGTGAGTCATGATATCAAGTAGTGGGAAAAGTCACATTCCGGCACAGTTTTTGTTGTGTTGGAAGGAACTCAATTTGTGGTAGGTAAATGATTTTCACCATCAGTCAAGCGGCAATGCCGTTCCACCCATGTAAAGTCGGGAAAGAATACTCTACTGCAGCGGGCACTGCGTGTTGTAAAAGGCGCCACCCCAAATTAATTATAATTCTTCTAGGTCTGGTTGTGACTTTTATTCGCAACCATTTTGAAAACTGGAACCACAAAGTATTTTAAGCTTTTTATCAATGCTGATCGAGGGTGTGCCGGATTTAAATTTCTTTAATGTCTGTTTTTTACCACCCGCGTGTTGGTACACATATTCAACATAAAAGGGCAGAATCGTGCATGTGCTAGCCACGGCAAATTTCTTTAATTTACACTGGTAGGCCCTACCAAGTGGTACTAAAATCACTAGGACATTCATATATCACACATAGATTCTAAGTTTTTATTAGCAGCATCTTGCCCCCAAGATAGATAACTCGTCCCTCGTTCGGGGTTTATAGCCTACAGTTGATTGTCACGGTATTGAGTGTTGTAACTCATTTGGTTACAGTTTTTTGCCACCCTCATGTCGTCTCTTCAAGGCGAAAATGTTCACAAACAAGTTAGTACACTTGGAAAATTCTGTCGGTACTTAGGTTGGGCCTGTTTGTTTCTCAATTGTTAGCGCTCATGCACATTTTTATATGCCCTAGAATGTGTGGGAAATTATCTGAACTCGTAAATATGTAAATCTTTATAATAGTTTTCATTTAATTAAAAAAAAATAACTGCACATTTATTTACTTAGGTATATAACAAAGTTCTAGGAAGTTACACCAGTTTTACAAAAATTATACTCAGTCCAGAACCAACTGTAAGTCCAAGTCCTAAAAATATAGCGACCATTGATGAGGCAATTTCCTTCTCGTGATGTTTGACAACTCTAAAAATGTTTCTTAAATAGTCTCGATATTTTAGATCATTCGTACGACATAGAATTAGCTTTATTCTGAAGTACAGAATTTCCATAAGCTTGATCGATATGGTATGAATGGTATAAAATTCAATCATACCTTGGCGCACACATCAATGCTAAATTTCCCAAATATCCATTTGTAATTGAAAATAGCACCATAATAATAATATAGTGATAGTCATGATTAAAAATCACCGGCAAATTGTGTCGGGGTTGTACATTGCACAGCAAAAAGAGTGGAATAAACACTGCACGCATCAGGCATAACACCAAAAGATGTGAACCTTTCTTAGGCTGCAAATATTACATTATCGACTGTTAACTATGCACCCACCGTACCCAGTGAATTAAACCCGCTAAAATTCGTCCAGTATAATCGCAACAATTCATCAACAGGTACGTAACGACAGGTACGAAATAAGTATCTGTAAGTTTAAAGGTGAGCCTAATCGGTTAGGGTTTACTTTCTTACCGTTCCACGTCTTTCCCTTTATCTCGGACTCGATAAGGACGGCAACTCCGGGATACACTGAGAGTGTGATAAAGAAAACCGAAAAGACAGAAGCGGCATATTTCCAAATTTTCTTTAAAATCGCCTTGTGGTCTATGAGTTGCGGCCTGAGTAGGTCGGCCGAAAATTCGTGCAGATCCGCCCCCATCTTGGTCGCGATGTGGTATTTAAAATATACAGCTTTTGATAATATAATGTAGAAAATTATGGAAATGACAATTACAACGTTCCCGACCATGTAATAGATCAAACCACTGAAGATTGACGATGCGCCGATTGATAACGCCATAATTTGTACAAGAGCTGTAAATATCGCCCCGAGTGCTTGTCCCCCGAACACAGCCGTGATATACTTTGGTGAGAATTTGCCGACTATTCCAAAGAGACTTCCCGATAGTATGGCACTCGCAACTTAAAAAATGGATTCAAATAGGTGTACAAGTTGGAGATGGGCACTAGCTAAAGTTAGTTACACTTGCAGTAGTTTTTGTCAATGTAAGAATTATTCTGTTATTTTTCATATGTGAATAATGAAACAATGCATTTCAAGATCTCTTCTTTTTAAGATTTGAAAAAATTGTTCACGGATGTGGCGTTATTTAAGGTACCTACTGCAATGCGTTTCTATGGGGCTAGTGGCAATTGGCACTTTGAAAGTTTATTACCACGAAATTAGTGAGCTATATTTCAAAAATTGCATGTAAGACCGCACATATGTTGCCTTACAAGTGTCAAGATGCTCCAAATTTACGAATTTGATGTAGATGTGTTACATACAAGACAAGGAACTTGGGATGTACATCTAGTACCAGTACAATTATATATTATCTGATTTCTACCTCTTCCTATAACTCAGTAGTTATTTTCAGTTCCTCAGTTATGTTAACTGAAGGATTGATTGAAGAAATTTGATTGGTCAAAATTCAAACATCATCCAATCAAGTTTCATACTTATATCAGACAACTGAACTGAGCTTGAACTATCGTGGTACAATCGACTTTGAGTAGTTCAGCTATGGAAAGGATCATTATTCATTAAGATAGACAGTGACCATACATTCTAGTCACTGTACAATGATCTGAATGCCATCTACAATTTAAATGTAATGCTAAATAGTAGTAACTGATCACTTATAGCTGTATAACTTGCCCATCTCTGGCACAACTTACCATTTAAGAGCACAACAGTTACTAAAGTAATGGCGAAAAATTCGGTTTGCCCTAGACAGCAAAGATGCATGATCAATTACCAAAGTCGTACCTATACTTACAGTCGTCGGTATCAACTTTAACGAAGACTGTTGTTATCACAAGTAAAATTAACATTACAATCAGTGAGCCAATCATACGTGTATTTAATGAAACCCTGCAACAATGCCATTGAATTCAATTGAAAAAACAAACCACCTACCGTTTGTTGAGTGCAGTGTTGACTATAAGAAAAATTACACATGGCACATTTGATGCAATGCTGAGGTAGGATGTAAAGCTGGCTTGTAAGGGTGTCCGTTTCGGCGGCGGACTAAAAAAATTAAGTTGACTTTTGGGATCACGAAATTTGTACATCCAATACTTGAAATTAGGAATTTAACATTTCAACATTTAAAACGGGTTCTACATACATCATTTGCAGTTATAAAAAAATTCCACGGCAGTAATGTCGTCATTCCTAAAAGGTAAAAAATGAAGAAAACAATATTGTATTTGTCTCTCGGCTCTTGAGGCTTGAATAAGGGCTCGTCGTCCTTAACTGCGACGATTCGATCGTCATTTATGTTGGGAATGTGCACCTCTTCGTCAGTATCGGAACTAATGGGGTCGAGCAGCGGTCTAATGTTTGCCGTCTCCATTGTCAGGTTGTTCAGCTAACACTAACGGATGTTAGTAACGAAGAACTTTGCTCCTTTAGTTACAAAATACATGGGGGTGCCTATGTTACCGAGTACTAGTTTAGCATCCATTCCCATTGATTGGGGCAGTTGAACTTATGGTACCGCCACTGGAAATGATACAGATTATTAATACATGGATTTTTATTTATTATAAAAAAGATATACTGACGTAGAAGAAAGATAAGAAGATGATACATAATTTATTATAACATTTGTGTTAACTTTCCAACAATAACAAAAAGACTAGAGGATAGGTAGGCAACATAACGCACACATAAAAATGTATTGCCAAGCTCCATCTTTTGTAACTTGTACGTACTTCTGCTCTTCCAAATTGGAAATTGGTTTTTTCAAAATAAGGTTTTTTTATTTATCTCGAGTCTTATTACAGTTCAAAAAATCGTCGTTGATGACACTATTCTTTACTATTACATTGATATTAGTTACAATAACTTATGCCCAAAACACGATTCTTCTTGTACACAATTGGTACAAAAAGGACCAAACTCGATTGCCACAACTTAAAGTTATACATGTTTTTAACAAAAAATCTCGTCTTTTTGAAACGATACCATCTTCGCTGGCAAATTCAGGAAACGTACTAATGAAGAGTCATGTAATACAAGTTCAAGTACAGTACTTCGGTCAGAGATAGTGGATCTGAATTCTGATTGAGGCAAATCCAGAATATGCTCTAATTCGACGTGCAAAGTCAAAGAAGTTACGAGGTTTCTTTTAAACATTTCGCCCCAACAGGAGACAGTTCTACAGATATTTCCAAAATGTCTCCATATAAAACCTAAATAAAACATGGAATATCTACGCGAAATTCGCACAAGTTTTCCAGGAGATACACAGGTTCTATCCGCAACGTTTCCAAAATTGTTAAAGGCTTTCACTGTCCGTGTTTGTATGAGATGAACCTTTTATCTACTGTTCAAACGCAAGACTTATTTTTTAGTTTATTATACCTATGTGGAGGCGTACATGATCTTCAAGTTGGTATTTCCCAAAACTTTACTTCATTTCATCTTCTTCAAAAACCTTCGCATTTTCTATCTTCCTTTGTGTGCAAAAATTTGAGAAGTGCAGGCCTCTATAACCTCCATAAAATATTTATTATATTAAATAATGTTCACATTATTAACCACTTTGAACAAATGCCGAGAAAGCCTACTTTACAAGTGGAAAAAAGGTTAATAATCATGTCATCAGACGCTAGTAGTGAAAAAAAATTCTTATCCGCTGGTTTAAAAAAGATGCTCTTTTTACTTTTAAGTCTACACACGGGGGTGCGGCGGAATTTTAGGGCGCCCTCATAGCTCAGAGCCCTTGAGGATGTGACCCCCTTTCCCCTTCAGTCTTACTGAAAACTGAGTAAAGTAAAAGATGAGAGAACATAGGTATTTTATGTGAAAATTTCAATCTGTAGGTACTGTATAACAATCAATGAATTCATAAATCACTTCATTACTTACTTATAAGGAAACGCATTGAAACTATTGCTCTCCTAATTGAATATGGTATAATTCACTTAGAATTAACATTACAAGATACATATTTTAATTATATAATAATAATAAGGATACAATCTTTCAGTACTTAAACAATAATTCCAAGTACCATTTGCAAAACAAAATTTGAACACACTGTATGCAAATTGAACATTTTGCTGAAGTACCCTTTAAAATGAAGCAAAAGCATAGAATCAACTTCGAACTCCCCTTCTTGCATCATCCTGTAGAATTATTCGGTCGATTAATAACAATCTTATTAGGTACCAACATATTTTCAACTTCAGTCCTAAAAATAATCAATAGGTTGACGACATTATCGCAAAGGGCATACTCACTTAAGACTCAGCGGTAAAATGGAAAAATCTAATTTATAGTCGTGCACCGCCGAAATACACAACGTTTTCAAACTCGGTTTGAAATCTAGAATGTACATGTCACTGTGATCCGTTAGTTTCTCTTCGACAGTATGCAACCGTGCATGCGTCCGTGGTGTCGGTTTTGGGCTGTAACATCGGACGTTGAGATTGTGACAGTCGAAATGCCGATCTCACCTTGTCCCGCCGAAAAGAAACACCCTGTCGCTGACGACAATGCATGCTTGTCTTCGTCTGCTGCACGGGCCGTTACCTTGCGGTTTAATTAATGTCCATTCGGAAGTGATGGGATCGTATTCGAATAGATCATTGTAATGTTGCAGTTTCAGTGCGTTATAGCCGCCGAAGATATACATTTTGCCGTTATATACAACTGCAAATATGCGATTATTGCTGGGTAGCTAAAGATGTAGACATACAAGCTGAGTGGCTACGTCGGCCTATAGGTTGAGTGCCTGTGGTATGTGGCTTACACCAGGTATGTGTCTGAAGATCCAGGTACCACAATTCATTGCAGTACACCTCCTTTTCGCGCAAGTGCAAGCTGTGATGCAATTCTGTTCCTCGACCTCCAAATATGTACATTCGATCGTTTATGCAGGCTGCGGAGTGGAAGTCTCTCACTGCGGGTTCCAGACCTAAAAAGATAAATATTGTGCAAGGTTTACTAAATTTCGTAAATTTAGATTAAAAAATTGCTCACCTGTTGAGCAACCGCTTTTTTTTGGCCTTTATTTTTGAGTGGTTTCAGCCAAGGCTGCTCTACCAACCCAACCCACTACAGTTTGTATAATGCATCTTTGAACGGCAACAAAAGCCGATCGCTATGAGATGAAATCAATGCAGAAACAGAACACTGCGTCCTTGTCGGCGTCTTAGATCATACGCGATCCATTATACCAACTGTATATACATTTACAAATATCCATTCCTGAACCCAGATTTGAACCAGGGACCCTTAGTACCGCAATCAAGCTTCAACTCAACTGTGCCACACAGGCCGGCTTTGGAAATGAAATGTCTAATTTACACGTGGGAAATTTGATTGGTTTATTAAATTTTCACTTGATTTTAAATTTTTGCTGAACTACCTAGTAGATTTGAAGTTGAGAGCGACTGTATCAAGGTCACAAGAAAGCACACACATTTTTTTGATACGAAGACATCTGGTACTTCAATGTTCAATGATGAAAAAAACATCTTTTTGCCCAATAAAGGGAAAATTTGGGATTAGGCGTTTGTAACAAAACAGCTTTGGTAAAGATTAATGTTAAAGGCAATGGTATAATTAGATCTAAGTGGGTTGTAAGTTTTTTTACTCATCTCCTAGATTATGTATATACAATGATGAGAGAGAGATAATTTGATATTAATGACGCAACATTTTGCAAATTCGACAACTCAAAAACCCTCCATAGGACCACAGGGTGAACCCTAGGATCGGATCTCATAGAGGAGAAAAATATCAAAGATGTTGGAAATAGCTATAAAGTAGTCTCGGCGATAGTGAAGTGGGTACTCTACAATTTTGAACGTAAAATGCCAAAAATACTAGCTAATCTAACTAGAAAACTAACATCTATTTTTGATCAAACCCGGCTTGAAGGGCCAATATTTACTAAATCACATGAACCATACATGTTGCTAAATTTAAATTAAAAAAAACTCACCTGTCCCTGGATATCACAATTTTACACATTCTTTTACTACTCAAAATCTAACATATGGTTTTGACAAATAAAGCAATTACCTGTACTATGAACGTATTTCCAACACATCGTATGCAAATTGAGTATGTGAACCGATCGCGCAAATGTATCGGATTCCTCTTCAAATCCGCCAAAAATGTACATGTAATGTCTCCACACACACGCTGTATGCCCGTCACGTGCCGGTGGTATGGCCCCCGTCGTTTCTGGAGCCGTCCAGCAGTGATACCTCGTGTCCAAACAGAACAGCTCCCCACAAGATTCGTGATCATTGCGGCCACCCCAGATATAAATTTTATCCTGATACACGACCGCGGTATGCCCGTACCTTTTATAAGGAACAATGTCGTCATTTTCAAAGTAGGGCAAGTCGCTCACTGGATGTTTGGTCCACCGGAATGTTGTAGTATTTAAAATGTGCACGTCGATCGAGGTGTACTCGTTGGAACTTTCACCAGTGCAATAACCTCCAAACGTGTAGATTTTGTGATCGACTGTAACCGCCGCATGATTTACTCGTTTCGGGCCCCCTTCGATGTGTGCTATCCACTTCATGTTTTTTTCTCACTGGTTAAATTTCGAATGAGCTTTGCATTATGAAAGGTACCTGTGCTCTAGTTGTCATTCACTGCATCACTGGGAATATCTAAATCTTTTTTAAATGATCTTCCTGAAAGTTGTTTTAAGTGTTTCAAGGTTTAAAATGTAAGTTACAATAATTATTACGTTTTGTTGTTTTGGCAGAGAGTCAAGGTTGAATTTACATCCGGTCCAAGCTCTTAAAGCTGAGGATCTGCATTACACCATCTGTGTATCTAATCGCCCTGTATATTGTACAATGTGGTTCTCACACCACACCCTTTCACAAATCTGAGCTGCGTTCAGGCATCTTTATAGAGAAAATTAAAATACTATATAGATAAAAAAAATACCCCTGGGAAAATAAATTGCATTGTTTTTCAAATCTATTTACTACCGCTTTAAAATAGATTATTTATTTGCACAGGTGCACATTATTGCTGAAAAGATCAATACTGAGATTTCGTGCTTTGTACAAACAGCATCAGCAGCTGCCACTCATTAATTCAATCTTGAAATCATATTTTCCCCTGGAGACCTGTTACCTATTTCCGTTTCTCCGAAAAACAATGGAATTTCCTTGTAGGTATGCGTACCTGAGTAACAATTAACAGTTAAACTTATATATATATACATGGTACATAGGCATCTGTTAATTGTTAATTCATTTTTCTGTGAAGTTTTGCGAATGCATCGATAGTCCACAAAAAACCAAAGAAAAATAAATTATACAGCTCCCCATGACGTCAGATGAAACTACGTCAGTCCGCTACAAAATCTATTTTTTGGCTTTTCCATACATTTACCCAAACGAGGAATTACTTGGTTTTGCAGTAAATGCATCGTCATTCTTATAATTGTTATGACCAAAGGGCTGTTTGTTAGTAGTTGGTCGAATTTGCTCATCAGATTATAACTGCTCCACACTTTATTTCTTGAACCAATAATTTATTATTAATGGGACTACTGTAGGTATACATTTAGGAAATTAAACCAACATTTTGATCTCTCTTCTGGAGAGCATCTGTTCTCAAATGCATGCATTTGGTGCATTTGAGAACATTTAGTCATCGACGCAAGTACATTTCACGAAAAATAAGCTTTCGGACACAACTACTGCTCTTCACTGAAAGAATGAGAAGAACATGATAGTAATTATTTATCCCTTTAAGGTCAGCCGTCGGCGTCATCAAATCCAGAATAGCTGGCCATACACAGAGAGGTTGATTGCCGGTTTAGAATAGCGCAGTTCAAACGTACAGATTTGTTTGTATACGTCTTTCGCTATAAAAACCGGTGCACGTCATTGATTTATGAATCAATTTCAGACAAGTTTTCTATAGATTTCGCACACTTGTTTTTTTTTGTACATGTTGCAGTGTTGCAGCATATGTCTAAAATTGATACACAAATCAATGACGTGCAACGGTTTCTATAGCGAAAGACGTATAAGTTAGTGGGTAAGCGCACGCGCTAGATTTAACAAGTACAGAATTGTGCGTCAGTGACGCATCAAACTGACAGATTTATCTGTCGCAGTTCAAACCGGCGGATCAGCCTCTCTGTGAATGTTTATCGAAAATTTCATTTTCATTACATTTTTCATTTTTTACCCCAATGCAATACCTTCCTTATTAACGAGCGGGTGGTAAAAACGGATCAAATGCATGGTATAGATGGCTACAATAGACAACCAACTATACACGAATTTGTTAATGATAATGATAATTTGTGTCTGCTATGGAAACAGTAACTTGTTAGCCTTTATTTTTATTATTAGCATCAAATTGCGATTCTTTAACACAATATAGCAAAAACAAAGCAGAATGGGTGGTGATTTTTAACGTCCTTGGTGGTAACAGTTAAATACATACAACTCCAGTTTATCGCGTGTAATGTTGGTTGCCTACAGCCATCTTATTCGTGTCCATATCATTGATTACTCAACAACATAATCAATGCTCATATGTATACATTTAAGAAAAATTCCCTGTGTAATACACATACAGTGGTTGTTGTTTAAACCTTTGAATTAGAATAATAAAGTCTGAAAAGTGTTATTAGACAAAGGGGTGTGACACGAATATATGGGTACTGTGTGTTGCCTACCCAATTCCATAAATGCATACCGCTAAACCCAAATTTTTATCGATCATTGTTCCCGTTTAAATCGAGGAATCGGATGTGGGCTGCCGATGCCGACCACGTGGACAACATTTTTTATTGTCCGGTTTTTTATCTGCGGTACTAGAATGATAAGTCTAATCACATTTAAGGGCCATTATTGAGGCAAATGTGATAAAGTTATTTGTAAATCTTAACCGGTTTCTTGAATTATCAGTTGAACTTCAGTATAGGCACCTGTTTGTTTCATTACAAATAATTTGTCACATATATCACATCCTTCATATCTCTAACCTCCTACGTCTATGGTAAAAGATTAATGTGGACATAATGATATGACGCATTAAAAGTAAATAGGAAGTGTGTCTTATCACATTGCACCTTTTATCGCACGTGAATGTAAGTGGAACAAAAATTCGAAAGATACTGTACATTATGGTTTTGAAAATTGTTGGTAGGGTTGGCTTTGTCACACCTGTTAACCTTATCTCCAAATTGCAAATGGCGATATAAACAATGTAAATTTTTTAATTTAAGGAAAGGTAAGCAAAAACATAGAGAATTAACGTTAAAATAACGCTTAGAGAATGAATATTAATCCATTTATAATTGCAGATTAACGTAAAGGAGACAATAATGTGCGACGAAACTCCTTTGAGACCACTAACAGTAACTACCTATTAACAAAAATATGTTGTATAGTGCTGCATGGCTTTTTATTTCGTTCTTTTCTAAAATAGTGCGAGGTGGTGACTGCAAGTTCAATGCTTCTGCGAAAATGCACCGATTTTGATAGCACGTTGCGGTGTCATTTGATTGAGGGTTGTGGAATGTTGACCTGTGCAACCTTTGAATATCTCTATATCAACATGTTTCGATTTGACTCCTATTGGTGTAATTACCCTCGGTGGAAAGAGGGGGATTTATAACATTATAAGTGATTGGGCTGCGAGTTTCGGTTTAAAACTGTTTAACGACAGTGTGCACATTTTAATTATGACTATTCATTATGGGACCCTTAATCAAGACGTGCATGTAAGTGTGCTTTTTTTTCGTTTGAACGAAGCGGAGACTAAAGATATGTAAATTTCCGAATTTTTGTTATTGTGATAAGGATAATCAGAATTTTGTAATTGCGTTAACACATATCAGAATGTGTGGAATTTTACCAACATGATACATTTATTTAACGGACAGTCAATTGTTAATGCATGCCTACTTTGTGTCAGCCAGTCGGTAAGGTCACTGAAATTTATAGTTTATATAATTGATGGAAATTTACATAACCAGTTATTTATCACCAGCACTGGGCCCTGGTGATTATACGACCTTGTAGGTTTTTTATTAGCAATTCTTGTTTAATGTGTTGTCAATGTTGTGACTAACTGCAATAGTATCTGCCCAGTATGATATTTATGGGTGTCAAGAGTATATATTATACATGTTTTTATAGCCACACGAATTTTTATTGTGGGCAGAACATCAATTTTAATTATAACAGTCTGGCAGAGCTTTTGTGCACGTGATTGAAGTTTGTGTAAATTCTTGAAGTTACACAGAGAAGTTTTATGAACCCTGATTGAAGTCCCTTACATTTCAGAGTAGAATTCTTTCTTTCTTATCTAGTCTAAGTCAACACTTACTATGTCCCCAACTTGCAACTAAGTAGCATAATCATAAATAAAAAATGTTTTTCCAAACCCTCCTGAAATTAATAAAGCCCCTCTACAAAGATTAATTGGTTTTTTGTTAAGACTTTTTCCAAATGTACCAAGAGTAAACATTTGTTGCTTAGGAGGTAGGTAGTTGATGTTGATACTATCCTTCAATTGTTTTTTACATTTATAGGCGTCAAGAGTATAAAATTTACAGGTTGTAATCTATTTTATAGCCGATGAATTTCTCTTGTAAGCAGTAGATCAGAGCAACAATTTTTCATTGCTAAACTGACCATTAAATTCACAATGGGAAGCCTTATGTAGATTTTTTGATGCCGCCTATTGAAGTTTTAATGGAATCATTAAGTGTTCGTGGTAGTCTGTATGGAGTCCTTTGTGTTTCTTTAAATTACACAATCAAATCTGTTACATTTCAAGAGTTAAATTGCATGTTTGCAATCTGAAATTGGCATTTTTACAATAAATCAATCAAATAATGTTTTGCTCAAGCCCCTCGAAGAAGATAAATAGAAATCTTTGCACACAAAAAAAAAACAAAAGTTGGAAACAGTTTGTTTAAACAGGATGGTGCAACCGAATACCTATCGAACAAATTTTTCAGGAAATTTTCCCGATAGGTGTTCTCACACGAGTAGGATGTTGGGCGAGGGTGCACCATCCTGTTGAATCCAAGAGAGTTGCCAACTTTTGTTTTTATGTGCCGCACATCGTTGTATTTGTAATAAAGAATGTGACTATACAGTATGTACTTTTTTGCAGCACAGTTGGTGATGATTTCTCCAAAACAAAACATTGTATGGAAAATTTTTCATAGGTGTCTTCTAGAGCTCTAGAGTTTCCACCCTGTATCTCAGAAACAAAAGTAGCTAGCTAGATTGATTCTGTTTGTGGTACTAAAACTTTCACAAAACAGTGGCAAAGGTGTGCGGAAGTCTCTATCTTTAAAAACAGCTACTGCATAATATAGGACACACTGTACATTTCCACCATAGAATTTCTGGATGAAGTTCCTTGGTCCTAATAATGCAAATTTTAAGAAATGCATGTTTTGTTTTAGTTACTAATTAAAATAAAACATAATTCTAAGTATGTGTAGCAACAAATGGTGGCCATTTTACCTCATACTGTACTGTGTGGCAACGAATTCATTTAAACAAAAAAACATTTTTGGTGCGTTAACTATCTTTATGTGACCTCTCGGAGATAGTACATGCTGAAAGTTGGACCTTTTTGCTTCCATTGTTGTTCGGTGTTTGTATTGGATACTTTTTTAAGATTCAGCGTTACGCCTAGTTGAGGGTACCTAATTTTTGCACTGGATTCTGTTGCAAATAAATCACTAACTGTTTCACAAATTTTATTTTTTATATGAAAATGAAGATGTCGTCTGCATAACGATAACCTTCCCTTATAGTGCAAGTAGTAACCACATTTTTTCCTTGAATGTCTTACATGTTAGGCAACTGAGAACGTTTTTTATATTCATATTTCATCATGTTTATTGTCTGATTATCTCAACGAGTTTTCCTGGAAGAATAAACATTTGTTTTCTTTTTTGCAACATTTTTTACTGTAAACGCTTTATCTGTACACAATTTCCTCTTTATTCAGCAAATTTCCAATCAAACCATGAAGAGCAATAGGTAAATCAGATGTAGGTGTAATATAGGCTTCAGGAGTCCTAAACTACCAATATATGGCGGACGGTGATTACTGTATTTTCATTGTTTTTGCACTACACGCCCAGGTTCTGTCCGGCTTTCTGATAGGTGGTATAGTTGTTTGTGGTCGTTTAAACTTTTTAGTTGCTTTCGAGATTGACTGATAGTCCCTAGATAGGAAAGTTATATATAGTTTGGAAATTGAATCTGTTACAATGTTCTATTCTTATTATTTCGTGTTCTATGCCATCTATTCCTTGCTCTTTGTTTTTCCGTTATGAGTTCTCTGATGTATAATGGGATAGTATAAGTTTGTTTAATTTCATCTGCCGGTACTTTATGGTTGAGTAGCCCTTTGGCGTTTCAAAGGCGTTTCTGCTTTTGGCGCAACGAGCAAAATTTGACAAGTAAAAAGTACAGAGTCTAGGTTGGACCCTTAAGGAACGCCTCGGGTCTCATTGAGCTTTTGTGATAAACATTGTATTTATACGTGTTATCAGAGTGTTAATTCGATTGTAAAATTTATTACGACTGCGTCAATGAGATGCTGAAATGATTGTCTATAAAATTACTGCGTTTAGCTAAATCAGTTGTATTTCAATAGTTTCTTTTCGATCATTAGAGGTGAAGGTGTAATCAATATAACTATAATAGAATTGTTAATGATGAGTGAAATTTGTGTTGAGGTAGGTTGTTGTTAATGTGATTGTGTTTATCTCCATTTCTCGCGTGTTGTCAAGCACCAATTGATGCTGTATTTCTCAAGTTGTTGATAATGCAATATACAAAATTACGTTATGCACCCAGCATCACTATCTTTAATTTACTTTTTGTATTTGCGAAATTTGGGATTGTTGACAAGTGTATTATGATTACAAACTGATAATACACTTGATAAGGAACACTTTTTGTTCATTTTTTTTTTTAAATAAATTTACTTAGTTGTACCATAATCACTGAACAGACACCACAAGGTAGGAGAATATGTGTTTTTTTACATTATTAATTCAATGCTTTCCTTATGTTTTTTGTGAATCCATTTCTGAATTTGCTATGGAGCCGGTCTATTCGTTTTTACTTTATGATTAACGAATGAACAATAGGAATCAAATAATATTTAAAAAGATCCTTAAGTAGTCTTGCCCAATGTTTGCAGTTTTTGAAATTGTTGTCTTAGACATATGTCTAAGATAAGGATGTCTATCATGGGGATCTCCGAAACCGTAGAAGACACAACAATGGCCAAAATAGGAAAAAGTTGCGCAATTAAACAGTTATTATCGTGCTTTAAAGAAAACCCCAAAATTCCGATTACTTCCAAAGATATGCCTGAAAAACCGAAATTGACAGATTTCGTTTTTATTTTTTCCTGATACCTACCATTATTTGAACAGATATTCTGACATATCTTTGGAAGTAATCTCAATTTTCTGGTTTTCTTTAAAGCTGATAGTAACTCTTCAATGGCGTATCTTTTTCTAATTTGACCATCGTCATATCTTCTATAGTTGCAGAGATCCCCATGATAGACATCCTTATCTTGGACATTGGTATATTAGGTTCAAAGTGAGATTAAGGTAAAAATCTTGTATATGATCTCTAGGTGAGGGGTATTTAAGGGTACTTAGTTGGGCTAGGTACTTTTATTTTTACACTTTGCATTAAAAAGAATTTAGTAAACATTGCATGTATCAAAGAAAAGGAAATGGTAATTTTGTATACAAATTCCTGGTCATCTACCATCCTAGATACAAAAACATTGTTTGTATGTGCGCCTACAACATTATTAACAATCAACAATATTATTAAATATTAATTTTCAATTGCAGAGCGTAAATTCCAATGGACATTCCACAAATAAAGTAAAGATGAAATCAGATGAAAAACGCCCTCTATTAGATAACGAATCGCAGAGCGATTCCACAGAGGTACAGAATGACGACACAGTTCTCGATCTGTCGAAGCCAATCAATACCGCCGGCTCGACGAAGGTTGCAGATTACAACCCAATTTTGAACAGGGACTTGGAGCATCCGACGTCGAACTTCGACACGATGATACATCTTCTGAAGGGAAATATCGGCACAGGAATTTTAGCCATGCCCGACGCATTCCGTAATTCAGGTTGGCTTGTCGGTATAATAGGTATATTGTTTATGGGAGCAATTTGTACGCATTGCATGCACATGCTGGTCGAATGCGCGCACGAGTTGTGTCGAAGGACTCAGTTGCCATTTTTGAGTTTTGCCGAAGTTGCGGAGCTCGCCTTTGAAACGGGTTCGGAGACTTCGAAGAAATACGCTAAAGTGGCTAAGTAAGTCCTAATGGAAAAGTTTCGGTGTAATATTGGTTTCATCCATTTTTAAAAATTTGCCAGTAGAATCAAACTGCTGTAACCGTTTCAGCTCCTTCTCACCCTTCTTTGTAATGCCTCCTTTCTTTGGTAGGTGATTAGACTTTGGTAGTAGATCAGTAGGATTTTTTATTTGTACCTCATATAGTTTCAGTAGCTTAATGAAAGGTTGTCACATTGGTTTACATGAATGTGTAGTCGCTCGCCATGAAGGGTGGGTTATGATTTTTAACCGTCGCCAAGTAATCCGATCTTAAACTGTGTTCCACGCCCCTATTTCAAAATACCGACGTGACGAATTCAGATAATAACTGTCATTAAGGGTTAATTTTTACTGATATATAGCAGTAGTTTGGATGCCGCCTAAGCTTAACTTCTGACACAGTAAGCCCTTTAATAAATTTTAAATTTAGTACAGACCATTAGCAGCAGGTTTTTGTTTAACGTTGGTGTTTATGGGCAAAAAATTGTTAACCATTTAATTGAAATAAGTACTATTTCATCCTTCACATCATCTATCATCATCCTCCCTTTCCGTCCACAGTTCCTTCCATCACGTCTCTTAGCAAAACTCCAATTTCTGTTTGTTTTGTTAATGGTATCCATGACCGATTTCCTTTCCTATTCTATTTTCATCCTTCATTATTTGTTGTCCATGGTTCACAACCTTATAACACTACTCCCAATGTGGATATAACCAGTTTTGCACAGAAACTCATCAATTATGCAGCTAGAACCTTTTGCATGGACCCTTTTTGCAGATCGGTGATTAACGTATTCGTGTGCGTAACCCAAATTGGTTTCTGCTGTGTTTACTTTGTATTCGTCGCCGCGAATCTACACGACATCGTTAAGCACTACTTTGTAGACATAAACGTGCATTGGTACCTGTTTATAATCCTATTTCCGATGGTCTTTATAAATTGGGTTAAGAATCTTAAATATCTCACACCGGTCTCATTATTTGCCGCCATTCTAACAGTGAGCGGGTTAATTATTACATTCGTTTACGTGCTGCAAGACTTGCCTAAAATTGAAACCATAAACGCAGTCTCGACATGGGTACAGTTACCGCTATTTTTCGGTACCGCAATTTATGCGTTCGAAGGAATTGGAATGGTAAATACCCTCAAAGAGTTTCCAAACACTAACTTAACCTTGCAGGTATTGCCTTTGGAGAATAACATGAAGACTCCCCAAGATTTCGGAGGGTGGACCGGGGTCCTTAACACCGGTATGGTTATTGTGGCCTGCCTCTATACTGCAGTCGGATTCTTCGGTTACTTAAAATATGGCGACATAGCGAAGTTGGGTAGTATTACCCTTTATTTGCCACCAGAAGAAATGTAAGTGACTTATCCTCGTTTCGCAGGTTTAATATTTTCTTACAGTTTGGCACAATCTGTTCGACTCATGATGGCGGTTGCAATATTTCTATCTTATTGTTTACAATTTTATGTTCCTTTCAATGTAATTTGGCCACCACTTCGAGGGAAACTACCAACTGAGAAGTGGCGGTACTATGGCGAATACGCGTGCCGAACTGTTCTAGTCATTATCACTTTCTTACTTGCAACTGCTATACCTAATATCGGTTCTGTTATATCGTTAGTGGGGGCAGTTAGTAGTTCAGCTTTAGCACTCATATTTCCACCTCTCATTGAAATTGTAACTTTTTATCCGAATAAATTAGGCAAAAATAATTGGATTTTGTGGAAGGATATATTTATAATGTTGTTCGGATTTGTCGGATTTTTGTTTGGATCTTATGTTAGTATATTGAATATAGTCTATCCCGAGGCATAGTGCAATTTATATTTGTAAGTAAATGTGATCTCGACAATAATTTCTAGTGACGATGGTTTTTAATGTGATGTTTTGACAAAGTCAGTATTTTATTTTTAATTTTTATAAATTTTATTAAGTTATTGTTTGCGATGTTTACATATCTTGTTAATAGCTTTTTAAAAAGTAACATATATTATATATACAACATATTTTATCACCGTTTATTTTTCTATATCTGTAGCAAAATACCAAATACATTGTATGCAATAAACTTGATTGTGTAACACCTTTGAGGTCCGTTGACCCAATCCAAAATCTATAAAAATGCGTATAATCAGAATTCGATATTAGCGGAAAATTTTAAGTTCACAAAGGTCATCGCGTTTCCAGTTTTTGATATCGCAACTCGGTTTGTTTGTTTTTTATTGGTGAGGTCATTTGATAATCTCATTTTTTCAACATCGACATCTAGACGTAGTGTCGCTTTCTTTGAATGTGTGATAATAATTAAGCAGGTCTTACTTAATTTTTATCTTTTGATAATGTCATTATTGCATAACAAATTAACAAATATGAGCGTGTGTTAGTATTACTGTAATTATTTAATCTCTCGAATATAAGTGCGTACAAAATTTACCAACGGCAATCTAACAAATCTGCGTTCTTACTTTATGTTTACTTAAAAAGTATATGGTGATTAAGTGGATCATGGTCAATATAGATCTCTTTTGGTGTTGCCTGCTTTGATCTTACTTGTTATGTTAATTTAGCATTGATTCTATGTGACCTTTTGTCTATTGTTGAGTCTATTTTTTATCTTGAAAAAGTACAACTTCGTGCAACTGACTTTGTACCTTGCTTCCAGACCTTTTTACATACTTAGGCACCTACCTACGTATTTGCAAAGGTAGGAAAATGAGACGTTTCTTGTCCCTGGACCCTGCATACAAACACTATCATTAAAATGAGGTTTTTTTCATTATTAAATTAACAAATCTTTGATGCTCTGGCAGCCCAGGATTAAGGGGGGGGGGGGGCTGCAGCCCCAGGCCCCGCGCCTTAAGGGCCCCAGTCTACAATCAACCCTATTAGTTTTCAATTTTTTGCATAATAAAGACGGAAAATTGGAAAATAAAACCCCCATCTTTTTCAATAATCTGTGATGCCATGGAATTTTATAATACAAAAACTACGCCAATATCCGTCATGCCATGGAATGTTCGCTTTAAAACAAATCAAATTCTATCAAAAAGTATTATATTTAGTACAGCGAATTCAACATAAAGAAAGACCAAATTACTAAAAACGGTTTCCTAATATAACAATTTACAATAAATGTTCGAATAAGTCACCATTAACTGCAATACAGTAACCAAGTCGATCATAAAAGCCATTTCGAACTGCTGCTAATTGATAACTGGATATCTTTTTGTTTTAAAAAATTCCATGGCATCGCAGATTATTGAAAAAGATGGGGGTTTTATTTTCCAATTTTCCGTCTTTATTATGCAAAAAATTGAAAACTAATAGGGTTGATTGACGTAAAAAATTTTTTCCTACAAAAAACCTTAATACATTTTTACTCTAAAATAATTTGGGGAGCCAACAACCGCATGTTATGAATTTTACATTGAAATCCCTATGATGCGTTACGCAAGTCACCACCCTGTATACAGATTTTGTCTCCCCTTTTTTTAAAGCGGTTTCCTAGTATGTCATAATATATTAATGTCTGTTTTGTGATTCTGAAAAATCTGTAGGTATTCGTATCTGATAAGCTTAACCTGTACTTTAGTATCAGTATATATAAGTATGTATCAGGGTATGCATTGTTAAGTGCGACATAAATTCCTCTTAAACAGCAGTCCCGAAATTAATGCGAATGCCCTTAGACTGGACTGTAGAGAAACACATTCTTAATATTTTAAAAGTAAGTTGGATTGGATTACGCATTGCACTTTGCACAGCATAAATTTTCGACAATAAAAATTAATATCGTTAAATTTGGCGTTTGTTGAAATTATAACCTATTTTGTATAGGAATAGGGCCCACGTTAATCCGGCCCTGTGCTCTGGGGCGTTAGAAAAATGGTAAGACTTGCTGAAGATGAAACAGGTTATATTGTCAATACCCATACATTTTGAAGGGAAGGCTTTGAGATCCAATTTTCTTAATCTTTGATATCACTCAACCCCATTTAGAGGAACGATGGACCATGTTCAAAAATTATATTTTCAATTAGGTTCAAGTAACATGTCAAACGGTAAAGGGGGCTTGTATGTACAAGGATGACACTGGGTCACGTAACATTTGAAAGGACTTGTTTAATAGACCAATGGGAAATGACTAGCTTTATTTTAACACAGTGACTAGACGGGTACCTACAGCTTAGCTGTACCGCTGTTAAATGACTATATCATATTCCGTCAATACGGGCAGCCGGTGGACACTTAACAGTAGTCTTCCAGATATCTAATAATATACCTTTCATTATTACTTAAAGAGTGAGTGAGCATGTATTGGTATGAATGGAAGAATTTTATGTGTAATTAGGAATGTGGCAGACACATTGTCATTCGACTAGCATTTATTTATTTATTGCCCGTCTCTTGTTATGGGCCCTCAACAGGCTTTCGCACAATTACACAGTGACCCTCATGTTCTATTTTTGTTATTAACTTGCCCGTACTGACTGGTTAATCCCCGCCATGTGCATGCTCGCCAATCGTTCATGGAGTTTATTTATCTGCTCAGTCAGAGCCCTATGGGGCTGCAATTTCAGCTTGGTGAATAGTTGCATAGCCGCCCATTTAGATTGGGGGTCTTTATACTTATGGACCTAATATATACTCAGCACGCCCCTTTCGTTTCCGCGCGGTGTCATTTCAGCGGCGCTTCGAGTAGCACGCGTTGAGACGACGACGCGTCGCACAGAATTGTGATCCAGTTTCTTCTTCAGTTCAGTGATGGACCTGGACAAAGACTTGTTGATGCTTAATTGCTTTGCTCATACATCGGAAGCCAAACAAAGTGCGTAAAAAAAGGAGATGGTGGATGCAGCATATTTTCTTATCACTGGCTGATGAAAATCCGATTAAAAATACATACAAAAGCATAAGCAGCGCCGCTGCAGCGGCTTAGTGTGAATATAGGAACCTAAGCAGCCTAATGATGATGATGACGGCTTTTTCGATCTTTCTGAATGATCTTTTCTTGCTTTCTCGACACCTTTGTCTCTTTTCGCCGTCTCTTTTTGCTCTCTCGACTCTTCCTTCGAGCCTTCTCTGCGCTTCGCAACGTCTGTAAGCGCTTACTTCAAACATTCTTCCGGCTCTTTTGAGACTTCGCACTTTCTCGAACCCATCTGGTTGTTTCTTTTGAGCTTTTTTCGCACCTCCTTCGAGCACTCTTCCCGCTACCTTTTATTTTTCTGTAAACTTTCTGCAGGTTACTTTTTGCTTTGTGTAAGTAATCTCGACGCTTGCTTATTTCGAACATTTTTCACGCTTGTTTGAATAATCGGCTTTCCACCTTCTTCATTTAATTAACGGCTCCTTCGTGACCTCTTTCTGTCTTCCCGGCGCCTCTTCTTCATAGTCTTGTATCAGTTGTATCGATGCTTCCTACTTATTGCCATATCTAGAGTAATAAATATATTTTTTATTGCTCATTATGACGCGTGAAAATAATAAAGTCCAATGTTCCTACGGGCTTTATTATTTTCACGTGTTATTCGAGCCTTCTTTTAATAAAGTAAAGGCTTCCGATCCTTCTCAACATCCTCTTTTTGCTTTCTTGTCGCCTCATTGCACTTTCGACACCTCTCTCCTTTGTATTCTCGGCACTACTGTCTTGACTGTTTCTTCAAGCTTTCTCTTCACCTTATTCTAGCCTTTTTTACCTCTCTTAACGTTTTCACGACTAATGCGAACATTTTCCCGCACCCTTAGCATCTTTTTCATGTTTTCTGCAATGCATTTAAACAGTTTTTTAAGCTTCTTCGCGCCTCCTTTGAGCATTATTTGGATACTCTCTTCGCACGTTTTTTACGCTTCTTGGACTTCTTTCGAGTTTTATTCACGCCTCCTTCAAGGAGTTCTTCTATCTAGTTCGATTCTTCTTCAATTAATTAACGGCTCTTCGATCCTTCTCGGTGCTCTCTTTTTGATTTCTCAACGCCTTCTTCATGCATGCGGGCCATTTCTTTCTCGTCTTTTCGATGCTTCGCTCTCCCGACGTTGATCCTTCCTATTTTCGCATTTGAGCGTTTTATGAAGCTTTCGCGTCACCTTCTTCAGGAATTCTTTACGTCTACTTCGAACATTCTTCCGCCTCGTTCGAGCCTTTTTCACCCTTTTGCACGTCATTTCCACGCTTCTTCATGACTTCTTCTAGTACTCTTTCAGCCTACTTTCCACCATGCCTTTTTCGAGTCGCCTTCTTAAAAGCATTTTTTAAGTATTCCTTCCATACTTTATTCGAACTCTGTTATATGTCGATGTCTACTTCCTTATCCTTTTATCGACATCACTTGTCATCTAGATCCCTCCTGCTTGCTCTTTCAACTTCTTTTGACCATTTGATTTCACCTCATTGTAGCCTTATTCACGCACCACGACAGTTTCCTCGCGTCTTCTTTTTGGTGCCTACTTTTTTCGATCCTTTCTTTCCAGCATTCCTTCACCTTGTATAACCTTCCTTGCGCTTTCCTTAATTAAATTAAGTAACCTTTTCCTAACAATTGAGTCGGTGAACGTTTACACCACGTCGTGCTTATACAGAGTGGCCCACCGAGAAGTATACAGAGGGCTTTTAGAAATTTCGAAAAATCCTCGAACACGTCAATTTTGTATTCGAGGGAGACAACTTTGTATTGATTCGTTTCGGAGAACTGACAGGTTCACTTAAGTTTAACAAACAAATTGAAGCGTCAAAATAAAATTTTAAGTGACTTAGATCGCATTTTTTGGTTTTTTTTAGAAAAAACCATTTCAAATGCGAATTATCTCCTAAACGAATCAATAGAATTTAAAAAGCAAAGCAGATTAGTAATCACGATTAAATTGGCTTTCAAACAATGTGCCAATTGCCATAGGATTCCATTTAAAATTTTAGGGGTTAAGCTCCCTACGTAGAGGGGTGAAGACTTGGGTTCGTGATTTGTATTCCAAAAGTTGTCCCCCTCGAATACAAAATTGACGTGTTCGAGGATTTTACGAAATTTCTAAATTTAATACCTTAAAAAAGCCCCTGTATACTTCTCGTTGGGCCACTCTGTATACCTATCTTAACATTTCGAACAGAGCCAGTAGAGCCAATATAAGCAACAACATTCCCCCAAAACATGTTTTGTAAAAGTGTTTGTACTTTCTAGGTTCTCTGGTCGCTGCCGATTATTTGTTGCCGCCCATTGATTTTTACAGGCCGAAGGTGTGGTTTAAATATTTAATTAAAGCAAACAACAACAGACGTATCGCATGAAAAATGTGTAGATAACATCGGAATTTCGTATGCGGTGGCATTATGATAGTACAACTCGCTTTAAACGGCACCTTCTTATGGGTTATGCTGACAGTTTAGTGCAACAAACGGCCCCCGTTTGTATGAAATGAGCAGTTGGGCAGCGAGGATGCATCGGCGCGCTGCCACCTTCAGTAACGTGGTTACCTCGTGCGGACATCCCTCCGGCCCCTATCCTCGTAGATTAGAGAAGGTTAAATTCGGCGTACCTCTTGAGGAAGTTTGTAAGAATGACATTCCGGGACCACTGCTTGTAAGTCACCCGTTTGAGTCTGTCGGTGGTGTTATTAGTCGTTTTGCAGGTGTTAATTTTAAAGCTAAATAAAGAAGCGCCATATCGTAAGGATGTGTTCCGTGCACCCGGCCATCAGGGTGCCATGAAGAAACTGACACATTTTTTACAAACTGGCCGTTTGTTAAATATGGATAATTTCAGTGTTTACACAATTGCTAGTGTTCTAAAGAAATTTCTTCGTAAAATTCCCGGCGGTATCTTTGGTAAAGAGACAGAGTTAGAGTTTTTCCAAATTATCGATATGACTGATGTACAAGTACAAAGGGACGAGATTCACAGGTAAAACTCCTTTTGCTCCCCGTTTCGTGCGTAAAGATTCTCTTATAGGTTGATAGCATCGCTACCTGTTTTCACACAGAGGCTTTTGGTGTTGTTATTTGGCACCTTTCGCGTTATCGCATCTAACAGCGAGAAGGCAAGTACGGGTATGACAAGTGAAGCGTTAGGCGTCAGTGTCGCGCCGAGTTTCTTTCATTCGTGCGTAAGCGACGGTAAAACTGCCAAAATGGAGGACGTGATACGCTTCAAGGTAATTTAAGTTGTAAACGATTGCGTATCTTGTAAATTTTTTTTAATAATTCTCATATAGTTTTCAAGAAGTAATGAAGGCAGCACGTCAAAAACAATTACTGTATATAATTAGATAATGGCACTTTTATAAATTGATTTATACTAATATTTGTAGCATAAAAGCTTGTGCTGTACAGTGCTTTTTTTTTGCATACAGGCCGAAGTTAACGTAAGTTAAAAAATACTCTCGTGTGTACGTGTTTACGTAGTTTCTTTTTTGGTTTTGAATTACTTGCTTCTTGTAGCTATATTTAACCAAGTGCATTGTTTGTAGGTAGAAGCACTGACGAAACGTTGACATTTTGACTGAACATAATTAGTCGACAATAAATGGGAAAGTTTGACCGCTAATTATTGGAGGCGTATAGTGCAATTTCGTAGTCGTTGACCCGCAATTGTTTAATTTTTCCCACATCCTGAATAAGGACACATGAACCTTCTTTTAATCACCAATTAACTTGTGCTGTAATATTTTGCTTCCAATTTGCATAATTTTGCATTATACTTTGTACATAACAAAACAAGTTTGGGTATAGAAATTTATGTCATATTTAAAAAAACCTTGGTAAAACAATTGAAAAAGTAAAAAACAAGAAATTAATCAGCTGGAGTCTGATAACTTCAAAGTTAAGAGGATGAATCAAAATCTACCATCTTCCACTAAAAGTTTGTACTGGATGTGGTTCCAGGTCCCTCTGCTTTATTCGTCTCGAGGAATAACTTGAATTTTAACTTGGAAAGATTAACATAAGATTGTTAGGTCTTATTGTAGTGATTTTTGATCTTTGGGAATCGCAATTTTACGATTCAAGCAAATTAAGGGCTGGTATTTCAAGTTTCTGTTAAACTTTCTATCAGTCTTATTTCATTATCCTGAGATTTTCTTACATGAAACTCAAACTCAAACAATAGTTACAGGTACTTTTCATTTTCTAACGTGATGTGGTGGTGAGGTTATGTATAAGTGATCACATACATACAACACCACACTCCCATCGACATCACCTCCTAGTTTATAAATTGGTAACACTTCGATATCCCTCTCAGCACTAGGTACTGGTAACTAATATAAGGTGGTTAAGATGGGGGAAGCCCTAGTCCAGTACGCGTTTGTATCATGTTCTTCTCTAGTTGCCCTCAAGTACCCCTAAAATTCATTGTTTCACCTACATTCATCTTACGTTTGTCTACAGTTCCTCACATATCCCAACCTTCCTTTAATTTTTTTACCAGATGCCCTTCACACTTTCTCTAAGCTTCTCTCAACTTTCTTCAAACTGGTTGCTCTTCAATTTCCATTAAGTTCCTTTTAAGCCCCCCTCAAATTTCTTTTCAGTTTTTTTCAAATGTGTGTTAAATTTCTTTCAAGATACCTACCATAAAGTTTCCCTAAAATTAATTGATTGATACTTGGATGTATAGGAAGCAAAAACACTTGGGTGGAAATTCCCTACCTCTCACGCATCATCAGTATGTCATTCAAAATGTTTAAAAAACAGTTTAAAAATAAAAATCTACGGGTTTCAGGATTTCCGCCATACTGTACAGGGTGTTTTTTTGGGAGCTTTAGTTAAACGCCTCTGGGAAAATAAAATACGTAGGTTTTTGAAAATTTGTACTTAGGAGTTACTCTGAAGACCGAATCTATGTAAAATATTTTCGAAATGGCCACACTTCCGGAAACACCGGAAGTAGATAGTAGCTTCGTTATATTAAATGGCAACCCCTATTTTTTATTGCATTTTTGGATTCTACGTAAAATTTCAGTTCTTTTGATACCCACATGTCCATATCTGCCATTTATGGTTTTTAAGTTATTTTGACTTTATGAAAAAAAATGGCGGATGCAGATGGTACCTTGATAATTGATTACTTGAAAACGGTTATAGTCATGGCAACCCATTTTTATCAGTGCATAGAGAATGAATAGGGCTTTCTTTTAGTGTACTAAAAAAATTAACTTGCGTACAACCGCACCTATGGAGATCAAAATTGAAGAAACTTCCAAAGAGTCCAAAAACTCAGTTTTTTTAAATGGAATGACCAAGTTCTTCCTATTGCATGAGATAGAGAATCGAAATTGGAATATTTTGATATTACATGTTCCAATAGCTATCTTTAACATTTTCTGATTTATTCCCATTTCATTGAATTGATGCCATTTTTTTCGCATTTTCATTTTAGTCATGATTTTGTAACAATCGAATTTTAAACAAATCAAGAAAAGGATTCTTTAATATCATTGATTCTAGTCTAAATAATTCATTAATAAATAAGTCATTTATTAAGGATATAGGACGGAAAATTTTTGACAAATCTAGACAGAGTCGTTCAACTGAATTTATTAAACAACGTATAAGTCTAAAAATTCAGAGAGGTAATGCAATATCTGTTCTAGCAACAATTCCATACAAAAAATGTTTCAACGAAGTTTTTTATATTTTACATTGAATTTATTTTGTTAATCTTGCATTTGCAATTCAATTCATTTTCTTAAATAATCTCTTGTAGAGCTTTGTATCACTTGTGCTTCAACGGTTTGTAGTGCATTTGGGGATACAACATTTCCAAAATTCATGCAATTTCGTTCCAGTGATCGAATGAATGTACGGCAAGCATGTGCCGCGATTCTGTCCATTTCACCATAAATAACAATTAAATTCAAAAATAGGTGAAACCACTGCGAGCCATTTTTCGATTTTTGAAAAACTTATGTTAACCTATAACAGTAGGTGACGGATTAGTGTCACTAGAATTGTTTAAAATTCAATTGTTATAAAATCATGGCCGACTACTAAAAAGAAAATTCGAAAAAAATAGTGTCAATTCAATAAAATGGGAATAAGTCAGAAACTGTTAAAGATAGCTATAGGAACATGTATTGTCAAAATATGCCCATTTCGATTCTTTATCTCATGCAATATTAAGAAAATGGTGATTCCATTTAAAAAAACTGAGTTTTTAGTCTTTGAAGTTTCATAAATTTGGATCTCCATAGGGGCGGTCTTACGCAACTTAACTTTTTTTAAGTACACTAAAAGAAAGCTGTATTCATTCTATATGCACTGATAAAAATAGGTTGCCATGACTACAACCGTTTTCAAGTAATCAATTATCAAGGTACCATCTGCATCCGCCATTTTTTTTCTTAAAGTCAAAATAACTTAAAAACCATAAATGGCAGATATCGACATATGGGTATCCAAAGAACTGAAATTTCACGTAGAATCCAAAAACCCAATAAAAAATTGGGGTTGCTATTTAAAATAACGAAGTTACTATCTACTTCCGGTGTTTCCGGAAGTGCGGCCATTTTGAAAATATTTACATCGATTCGGCCTTCAGCGTAACTCCTAAGTACAAATTTTGAAAAACCTACCTATTTTACTTTCCTAGAAACGTTTAACTAAAGCTCCCAAAAAAACACCCTGTATATTCGTTGTTTGTATAACATATACAGGATGTAACATACAAGTATGTAAAAATTGCATGGGTGGTGGCTTCAAAGTATTTTTTGGAAGTTACATCACAAAACTCCCTAATTCATTTACATTGTTTATTTTTTACTATAAGGATGCGACTAACAGCTTTACTTAGGTTTTTGCGTATGCTCTTTCTCACTTTAACATATTCTGGGCCTGGATTAGTCACTATAAAGTGGAATTATGACCCCTTGTGACAATCACTGCTTGATGCTTTCATAAAATTCTGGATCACTTTTGATGTCATCTAACACTGGATGCAGCATTTATGCGCCAATCACAGCAAAGCAGTTGAAACAGGTGGGAGTTCGTAACGCCAGTGGCACCTGGGATTGTAAGCTCTATGACTCATTTGAGAAAACTAAAACACAGTGTACTTGTCCCGCAAATCATGATTTTTGTGGGGAGTGTTTTAAAAGAAAAAAAATTGTCTCTTGCTGCGTAATTATTGGGGTGACATGACTAATTACCAAATTGACAAAGACACTTTGTAATGTAGCAACGTGTGGTTGAAGCGCACTTGACATGACCAAATGGCAAAATATTGTTGTATTTGCATTCATACTACCTAGTTTGAAAATGCATGTGTATATTGGTGCATTCGTTCAAATTTCTTTGTAATTTTCCATTTTCTTCCCACTAGGTGGCGACTAGAGTCATGAAACATTTAATAGAAGAATTTGCGTCGGCCGACCTGTTCGGGCGCGAGAATTATGAATTTTACGCTCGCGTAACAGGCCGCGTCTTGCGTGTACAGGGTGAGTGGATATGTTCATTTCAATATCCCCCACCGCCACCTAAGGGTCATTCTGCACAGCAACTGTATGCTAGTGAGTATGCAGCTTTGGAACGTTATTTGCTGGGTATGTTTTTGTTCGCTTTTTTTGTGTGCAATTTCGTTTTGACAATAGCAGCGCCAGCAATTACTCGAGCTGTCACGATTTGTTACAGGACAACTGTCGTTAGAGGCAGAAAAGACTTGGTTGCAGTGCGAATGCGAACGTTGGCACCTCAAATATGGATTGGAAGGTAATAAAGTAGATGCAGCTAGTACAATTTAGGCTTTGTACATATTATTTCCTTGTAGTTTAATTTAATGTAAGCTTTTCATGTATATCGCGTTACTACTGTGATATTTTTTTATTGAAATAAATTTAGTATTTTTTGATTTTTGTTCTTTCTCTTCTAAATAAATGCACAGCCGTTGAAAAAGGACAGTCGACTCCGGCTTTAGCGGAAGCGGGACTTCAACCACAAACTGCAAGCACATCACTGGGTATTATAACTGAGCACACCCTTCTCGAATCGTGCACGCGTCTGTCAATCTCCTTGGAACAAAATGGAATTTACAAGGTCAGTATTAACGTTGCATGATTAAATAATCTCATATTCGATTTAGGTGGGGAACAATTCAAACACTTCCAGTGAAAGCCATTCATCACCGTCTGCATTAAAAATGACTTTAGACGAACTGAGAGCAGTGAATCGGTACGCCGAGAGCACCCGTAGTTTAAGCTACCTACCTCAGGTGAGTCTGAGCTGTGTTAATTGTTGTGGTGATCACGGCTCGTTAACAGGTACACGAGCGTCAGCGAGCTCGTATGTTGACGCGTTCACAATGGTTTCTAACACCATCAGTTGAATGTACAAGTTGTGGAGGATCGTTAGATCTCGCTTTAGCAGATGCTAACGTTTCTGCACTTACGAATGCTCTGCTTCGAAAATCATCATCTGGTACAATAGGTGTGTATATATTTAGGTTGACACACCTCTTTTAGTTATTTGCTATCGATAATTTTGAGAAATCTCAACTGACCTCCTGAAGACGAAAATGGACTGTTCCGCCACTGACACAGCTTTCATCAAGCTATTCTTCCAGTATCTTCAGAATTCTATCTTATGATTAATTCACACGTTCCTTCGGGACCCCCTCTCCCTTTCGTTAATTTTCTTCCATACAAGCAAAGCGTTATGTGCGAAATTGCCATGTCAGTGCTCCTCTGGTGGCGGAATGGTGAAGCTTCAACCCTATCTATGACTTCAGGTCCGGGCGACTGACATTTCTCAGCAACTTAGAACGATCTTCTTTGCCGTGCAAACAATCTGTATTTATTATTATAGTAGGAGCAGTTGGGTTATCCCTTAGCGCTGAATCAATTCAACGTAAACCTAGCATTCGCCGCACAAACTCCCGAGATAAACGCCACTATCTGCACCGATCCAACAGTAGAAGGAACAAAGAAAACGGCTCCAGATCTAACAGGTAAATGAAAACTTACTGGGACGATTTAATAACATCTAGTATTTTAGTTTCAAAACACGAAATTCCAGTTCAAGACCAGGAAGTTTTAAAATAAAATCACGATCGAGCAGCTTTAAGGGTAAAAGTGAACTCTGTTCGTGTCCAAGTCCGGGTTCGGTCGAAGAGAAACTCGAAGACATTGTTAAGCTATCTTCGGGACATACCGAAACTATCTGCGTCAAATTGACATACAAACCACGAATTTAGAAGTTACTTTCTATTTTTATTAATAAGAAACAGACCAAACAAAGTTAATTAAAGAAGACTGCATTCCAAAAATTTTACGCATTTATTGTTATATAGCTTTAAAGTTTAGCTTTTTTTTATATATATTTTGGTATTTGTAAAAAATGTACGAAATGACATATATAACATTGCCAGGTATTTGAGACATGCATCACATAGTCTTTTTGTTATTTGACTCGATTTAATATGGGTCCCATGTTAAATCAGTTAAATTCTAGTCTTGTAAATTTCATTCACGTGTTTTAAAGTTTTTAAACTTGAATGTAAGTTTGGCCAGGCGAAATTATTGAAGAATCTCGAATCTTGTTGTGCTAAATCATTTACGTTACACGCATTTTTGTGTCTGAACGTCAATAATTTCGTCTGCCATTAAGTAAGTTAGCCTCCTGTGTTCAAACTACGAATGCTATGCGGTTTATAGAAGTATGATGAATATGCATTGTTCCATGTTAAATTGCCGCTTGATGCCAATTTAATGTTGACCAAATCAGTACTATAAGAAGAACATAACACCAAATCCAATTTTGCAAACTTCTTATGAAATTTTCACCTTTTTAATGTAAATCGTTAATTTTAAGCAGAGTGTTTATCAGGTAGCCTTCAGTATTAGATTTCTATCCGTCCAAAATATGCAGACGTCATGTCAAAATTGAACATAAAACGAAAGAAACAATGAAACGTATCTATCTAATAAACACTCGAACAATTTTTAATTTAGTGTATACACTTCAATCAGTATTTTTAAATATATTAAGAACTGTTGCCAAATTATAAGGAAAAAAGAGGACATCTAAAGTCGATCTCTTATCATACACTTTGTGTTCAACCATTTTAAATATGAGTATGTAATATTGAAAATAAAAAATAAGTTTTATAACGTTTTTTTTATTGCGGAAAAACAAAGTTATTGTACCATTTTATTTAGTCAAAATATGCTCTATTTTGTCAAATATCATTTATAAGGCATGTGAAATGTGGGGAATTGCTCCACTACCATCATTAATGAGCAATAAAAACAGCATACCTAATTTAAATCTAAATGGATCTTTTTAATATTGCGTTAGTATTCAATGGTTAACAATGCTAAATAAAACGTTTTAGATTTATTGGGCACATTTTCAGTTTGGGATCTGGACTATGTCATATTTATATTAATTTTTGTATGCGAATTTCGCTTCCTTTGACGACTGGTAAGTGATTTTTCTATGAAAGTATGTAGGTATACTAAATAAAACGTTTTAGATTTATTGAACGAATTTTCAATTTGGGATCTGGACGGCCTCATATTAATTTGTCTATACTTTGTGTGCGAATTTCAACCCTTATGACGTCTGGTAAGTGATTTTCCTATGGAACATATGCTAAATAAAGCATTTTAGATTTATTGGGCGCATTTTCAGTTTGGGATCTGTACTGCGTTATATTTATATTAATTTGTTATACTTTTAATGCAAATTTCGAGCTAGTTAATTTAGGCGCTTTAATCATTTTACTTTAAGGACAATTTACTGCACAGTGTAGATAGGTACTAATTGGACCTTTAGCGGTGGCAGTCACTATCGTAAATGCAGTACTTTGATCATTGTATACCTATAATAAATACAATGATTTGATAATGCGAAGCCCCGCACGATTGTCTGTGGTGCGCGAGTCTTTTCAGAAAAATTGCTGCTAAGTTCAAGGAGGTGTACAATCTTAGGTCCACCCCCTTGTTCTTGTTCTGGATGTCGTAAACGCGACCAATGGACAAACTGTAATAAAGTTTCGCACAACTGGTCAACTGAACAATGCAGAGAAAATTTTAACCCGGCGAAAATGAATGTGGAATTTTGCGTTTATTTATTTATTTACTTATTGATTATCCCTCTTTTGTTCTGGGCCCTCAACAGACTTGCGCCCAATTACAGAGTGACCCACATAATGCTTTTTAGAGGTGCCTCAGCAGAAGGTCTTAAGTTGTTCTATACTACTCCGGTATTTACCTTACGAATTAGGGAAACTACAGTAAAAGCTAATTAATGATATGCACATTGCAGTAATGAAATCCATTTATTAATTATTCATAAATAAGGGTAATGTTTTTAAATCTTGAAAAAAATGCAGAAACTTATTACTTATCGCGTAGTTTTTTAGCGCCTGATGTATTTCATTATATTATATTTATATGTTGCATCAAAGTAATAACAGATCTAATCTATTTCTTCTTACTAAAAATTTTCTTTTTTGAATTAAGGTTTTAGTACACTTGAAACCATTCCCCTTGAAAACATAAACTACGACTAGTTTCGAAACCATCCCCTAGTTTCAACTAGGACTGGGGGGATGGTTTCTAGTCTACTGCAACCGTAATTCAATTTTAGGTTTTTTTTTGCATAATTACATAGAAAGAGAATTCCCTACCCACAGCAATTACTTCAATTTATCCCTGTCTGTTATAATTGCTGAGAACAAAATTAAAGAAACACAACTTTTGGGATTCTTGGGGTTGATTTTGGTTTATTCGTACACTCCTTATAGTATTGCTCCGCGAGATACATGTGTAGGTAGCAGAAGATGCTGCAGATAATTCTGAGCATAAAGGAGCAATGGATTTTTAATTTAGGCATTAGCATTTGCAGTTTCATAAGCAAAAAATCGGTCAGGCTCACTCATACTTGTTGGGGGATACCTTCAATTTCCTTTTGTGAGGAGTACCGAGGGTAGTAAGCATTAGTATGGTTATTTGGCTCTAATTGCTTAACAATGCTCCAAGCAAATTATGTCACAAACTACCCCTCTCAGTGGTGCTTATGGGGGTGGTCTGCCAATTGCCATGCAAGTCAAATTCTGTAATGCCCTGCAACGGTGTAGTATGAATTGCATATCGTTCAGGCGCAATAAATTCTTGCAACTTTTAGTTGTATGAAGTTGGTATACCTGCACATCCCCATCTATTTTGCATTAAAGTTTGTTTACAAATACTTTATTTTTAGCACTTTTAGGACAAAATATCAAGTAAAATTTAAAATGTAGATTTTAAAAGCCCTTCAATTAACAACGCGGGACAATCATTTCGAATTTTGATTTTGGGTTATGAAGGATATTAGCTTAAATGTGTTTATTTGCATTACAACCATAATATGTGTTTATTTCCCTCAAGTCAATGGTAAAGGATAGGGGCCAACTTTTGGGAAGGTATCTAAACAATTGAACTTTTAGGAGACGCCTCCCAAACCAACGGGCCTTTATTGTTGTACTCAACTATGAAGGATATACGAATAGTACGCACAAACAACACGAAAATCAAACCGCAGATACTTATACGTAACATGACCGATGGGGCAGCTTTAGATTTTAATTATGCCAAGAAACAGATTTGTTGGACGGATCATGGGCTGGAAAATATTCAATGTGCAACCTTTAATGGGGTGGATGTTACTAATAAGGTATAGACTGTGCCATATCCACATCAAGTTACCTTTGGAAATTGTAGATTGAGATTGTTAGTAGCCGTGATGGTGGTTTGTTATCACCCGACGGACTTGCCTGTGATTGGTTCACAAACAAATTGTACTGGACAGACAGCGAAACTAACCGAATCGAAGTAGCTACGAGTACAGGACAGTTTAGAAAAGTTCTCTTTTGGAGTGATATCGATCAACCTCGTGCCATTGCTTTAGTTCCTATGAAAGGGTAAAATCGTGATCGGCCTGCCGTTACTTAATCACTAGTTTCTTTATAGTTTAATGTTTTGGACCGACTGGGGCGAAGTTCCTAAAATCGAAAGGGCCGGTATGAACGGTGATGTCGCCACGAGAAAGGTTATCGTATCCGAGAATATATTTTGGCCGAATGGTTTAACAATCGATTATAAAGCCGAATTGATTTATTGGATCGATGGACGACTTTTGTTTATCGATGTCATGGATTATAACGGGGACCATCGGAGTACAGTATTGAAGGATGGGTTCCAGTATCCGTTTGCACTCACCCAGTTTCAAAATAAATTTTATTGGACAGATTGGAAAACTTGGTAAGTTGTTGGGTGTTTCCATGTTCGAACAGTTTACTGGATTTGTAAACATTTTCATTTTTCATTTGCCTATTATATGCCAATAATCATTACATTTGTATATTTTGGAAATGCATTATTTGGAACGATGAAAAATAAAATTTTGTATGTAACTCAGGCATTACTCGATATTTAACTCTCGGGCGACTTACAATCCCTCTGGCCAGAGGCCCTCGGCATAAATATCGTCTTTTTGCCCTTGATGCATAAATAACAATTATGGATTATGTAATTCTGATTTTCAGGGGGAATAAAGAAAAAGCTTTAAGTCTTTAAGAAATAAGTTCATTTTTAAAGGGAATATTTTGGATAAATTTAATTTTGGCTTTAGTACTGGTTTTTTTACAAGACACTGGGTGCAAAGTAATTATTTTCTTGTAACCAAATTGTTTATGTACCTAGTGAATTAATTACATGATCTGTAATAATGTATAAAAGTTACCCTTAATATCAAAAAATTCTAATCATCAGGTCCACTTTCTCCAGAAAAAGTGGAGGTAACTTTGTTGACACATCCCTGTTTGAGCCATACAATTTGGAGGACCCTATCCAATATACGTTTTCTCTTTTCTATGAGCACTTCAGTCCAGTACAGGGTGGTTCAAATTCGTGGACCTCCATTGGGAGATGCAGTGTAGGTTTTTTTGGAGAATCTGAATCTGATATCACAATTTCTATAACATGCGAGATGTAGAAGCTACATCTACTAGTTTCTTGACATAGAGATATTGAGATAGAAGACAAAAAAATGCATTTACTTAAACGTATAGCCATGTTGATTCAGCAAGATCTAGTTACCCGTGGAGAGCTGAATGATTTTGACATTTTTCTTATTGTATCTGAGAGTATAGAGTGTGACGTGTCATTACTTTTCTTTAGTTAGAGAATCGGAACAACAAAAATAACGACCCACTCACATAGGCAAATGGACAAACTACCTTGTAGTCGATACGTGTATATTCTGAGCGTGGATGGATTTGCAAACGGACAGAATGGTTCCTAAAGACACAAGTATCACTGTCCATAGTTAGATGCGCAAAAGCACTAATGTAAGCAATCGAGTTTGACCTCTTTCCCAAGATGATTGGTGCATAAATAACGATTTTCATATCTTCGGTAAACATATTTTGCTCTCCATTAGTACGCATGGATCAAGTGACGTCACACGCTCAAACGAAATTATTTTTTCAAGCTCAATTTAAATCTTTTGTGGAGGTATTTTAATGATTCTTTCGCATTTTTAATTTACTTTACTTAAATTTTCACAATTAATTTACAAGAAAAAACTGGAAACTTCTTCATTTTTGGCAACTTAAGAACGTTTTTGATTTGATTTATACCAATTTCTAGTACCAAATTTTGCGAGTTAAAATTTATTTTGCTTATTTACAGGTCTGTTCACTTGTACGACCGTAATACCTCTCAAAATTCCAAAGAATTTATACACTCCGATTTTGTGCCGATGGACATTCACGTCTGGGACCCGCACCGACAGCCCGTAATTTCGCATCCCTGTGAAAAAAACAATGGCGGCTGTTCCCATCTATGTTTACTCGCGCCATACCCACCGGGATATTCTTGCGCATGCCCCATCGGAACCAAACTAGTCAACAATTTTAATTGTACCAACGGACCACAAGAATTATTAGTATTAGCAAGGCGATCGGATATTTGCGTGGTATTTTTAGATTCCGCCGATTACACTTACAAAATTCTACCTCTCACTAACATTAAATATACAATAGCCGTAGACTATGATCCGATCGAAGGATTTATTTATTGGACCGACGATAACGTGAAGAAAATTAGGAAAGCGCATTTAAACGGAACGCTACAGACTGACGTCATCGTATCTGAAATTTTTCATCCCGACGGTATCGCCGTAGATTTTGTCGCCCGTAACATATATTGGACGGATACCGGTACGGATCGTATTGAGGTCGCGCAGCTGAACGGCAAATATCGGAATGTTGTCATTTTCGACGGACTCGCCGAACCGCGTGCCATCGCCGTCGCGCCTCAGCTGGGTTGGCTGTTTTGGTCCGACTGGTACGAGAAGAATCCGAAAATTGAGCGATCGAATTTAGATGGATCCGAAAGGAAGGTGATAATTTCGACGAAGCTCGGTTGGCCGAATGGAGTTACTTTGGACTTTGAAAATTTAAAAATTTACTGGTGTGACGCCAAAACGGATTTGATCGAGTATGCAAACATGGACGGAACGGACCGTCGGGAGTTGGTGAATGACAACGTGCCGCATGTGTTTGGTTTTTCTCTTATGGGTGATTATTTATATTGGACTGATTGGCAGAGGCGCGCCATTGATAGGGTTCATAAAGTGTCGGGTGGCAATCGTGAGGTTATTATTGATCAAATCGCTAATGTCATGGGATTGAAGGCTATTCGGTTGCAAGAGTTCCATGGGGGTAACACCTGCGGTGTTGACAATGGCGGCTGCTCTCACTTGTGCTTGTATCGCCATAACAAAACGCACGTATGTGCTTGCCAGATTAATTATGAACTTGCCAGTGATAATCGTACCTGTGTGCTTGCCAATGTGTTTCTCATCTACGCGCGTAAAAGTAACATCGGTCGCATTAGCATTGAAAATAATTACAGGGAGGTAACCATTCCCGTGGCGGGAGTTAAACATGCCATGTAAGTACAAAGTCTTCTTAGTAGTCTCTACCCAATTTTTCCACAGGTCTATAGATTTCGACATTGAAACCCAACGAGTTTATTGGAGTGACAACAAACTGAGGGTCATTATGAGCGCTTTTGTTAACGGTTCAGATCCGCAGAAGGTGATCGAATTGGGATTAACCTCCCCCGAAGGTGTTGCGGTCGACTGGATTGCGAAAAACATCTATTGGGCCGATTCCGTCTTGCATCACATTGAAGTTTCAAAATACGACGGTTCCAGTCGCCGCACCCTTATATGGAGAGACATCGACGAACCGCACAGTATTGTCCTGAATCCCGAAGAAGGGTAAGAATCTCTTAGACTGAGAACATTAATTGCACCCCAAAAACAGGTATATGTACTGGTCAGAGTGGGGTCACTCGAATTGCATTAAACGCGCGACATTAGACGGTTCCAATCGAAAGACCATAATTATCAACACGAAGCATGCGTCCGGATTAACCTTGGATTACGAACGAAAGCGACTCTACTGGGCAGAAACGGCGACCTCTTCGATTTTATCATCTGACTTAAATGGTTTCGATAAGCAAGTTAGTCTGAAGGATGGCATTCGAAAACCGGCCGGTTTGACTATTTACCAAAACATGGTGTACTGGGGCGATGAAAATACAGGTAAGGTTGTGTGCCAACATTAATGTCGGAGATATCCATGGTGTGATGAGACTCAAAATGGGATTGTGTATATTAGATACCAACAAAACACAAAACCTTCCCCATACTAATTTTAATAAACAAATTAAGGAAGCAGCGACTAGTTTCGACCAAAGGTCATCTTCTGGCTACAATAAATCTGTAACAGATATTGTAGCCAGAAGATGACCTTTGGTCGAAACTAGTCGCTGCTTCCTTAATTTGTTTATTAAAATTAGTATGGGGAAGGTTTTGTGTTTTGTTGGTATCTAATAACCATTAATGTAGCCAATGATGGTACTTAATTTCTTAAACCAACTTCACTAGTTACTTTGTTTAGTCAGTAAATGATCGAATAACTCAACTACATAGTTACTTTTGTTGAAGCAAAGTAACAGTTCTGACTGCGACTGAGTGTAATGGTTTATAATTTCAGGGGAAATATTTTTTGCGGAAAAATCCAACCTGACCAATTATACGGCGATATATACCATGCACGAAAACATAACTGATTTGGTGATTTTCCATGAGTCGAAACAGAGAGGCTCGAACCGATGCATTCATAACGGAGGGTGTTCCCACTTATGTCTCTACCAGCCACCGGAAACGCTAAGCGGTCCTACTGTCACCTGTGCTTGTCCGACTCATTATTTTTTACAAAACAGCACCTGTGTCCGTAAGTTATTTTTATAGTCGATGCAATGAAATTCTGGATGCACGTTGATCTGTTAATTAATTTTAATAATTTAATCAGCAAATAACAGCCCGATATGAACAATTATAATCTGACTCCACTACTATCTACTTCTTGTTAAAAAATAATTAAAAATTTTGGTAATTGTTGTAATTACCGAAATGTTGTTGAGACCAGCATTGTTCTGCATCATTTGGCGGTAGGAAAAATCTAAGTAAAACCAGCTTCTTGTTCATTACAGTTGCTTAGAAGAAAATTAAACGCAGAAATCCAAAGACATACTTACTCGTTACCCTGGACATACCAAGGATATTGCAGTAGCAGAACTTTCCAAGAAACATTAAAAAAAAAATGGTCAATTAGACGCTGAAAGGTTGCGGGTGCGTTGCGCAGACCAAAGGGCATTCGCAAGTACCGAAAAGTCCCAAACGGCGTCGTGAAAGCGGTTTTGTGTTTGTCACGTTCACTGGCTCGGACCTGGTGGTTGCCGGATTGTAAGTCCATGATTGTTCTACAGAAGTTTCGCTTCGTATCGTGGAGCAGATCATCCATGTGCGGAAGGGGATAGGAGTCAATGACGGTTATAGCGTTAATCTTGTCTGTAATCTACGCATAGTCTGGTGCTGCCACCCTTTTTCCGACTAGGCAACCGGGGACGCCCAGGGTCACTCACACTCCTCTATAATGTTTTTACTTAAGAGATCGTTGAGTTCTTTTCGTAGTGTATCAGCTATCCTATAGGGTGGTACAGCAGTAGGTGGGTGGTTTCCTGTATCTCTAGAATGTTCACCAAACGAAGTGGGTTCATCGTATGTTTCGAAAGTATCGCTATTTGCCAATAACAGCTTATTCAGGGTGGTTTTGCCATCTGAGGTAAGGGATCTGAGAAATTCCAGGTTCGTTCTGTAATGTTAAATGACAATTTGGCATCTTTTACAAATAGTCCAGGAAATAGAGACTGAAAATGGACCATTTCCTGCAAAACGAGAAGTAGTTCCAATTTTTTTTGCATGTCATGAAAGAAGATCTGGTGGTTAAGAATCCCAGTTTTTGACCTCCCACCCCTTGTGCTTCCCCCGCACCACCCTTAAAACCAAAGAAATTTGGTTGGTTTTTTAGTTTTTCAATCATATCTTTTTATAGGTTCATTTTACAAAAAAATATTGTTATCATCAATTGTAGACTATAAAATTCTACACAACTTTGATATACACTACTTTTTTGTGAAATGTTTATTAAAAACGATATAAAGCTTCAGAGTTGCTTATATTTGTAATTCTAAAATTTGTATGTAGATGTTTTAACCAAATTTTAGACTTTATCTCTATAATTAAGAGTTTTATGAGAAAACAACTTATCGTGGTATAAATCCCCCTACGCTGCACCCTTACCAAAGGGGATGCATAATAATTCAACTTTCAACCCTTGTTAGTGGGGATATTTGAATCACTGTGAGATTGTAGGACTTTCTAATATACGTTTGAAACAAAAAAATTATCTCACTTCAGTTCAGCTTCATCCTTCATATCCCCCCCCCCCCCCCCAACCGCGGTAAAGATAGATATTTTTTTTTGTTTATATATTTAGGAGCCCCTCAATTACATAGATTATTGTTAGAGGGATAGAAAATATATGTAATAAGCGTTGTACTCTCTGACTAACTTCACAATCGCCACAAGAGCGTTTAATTATCTATTCCTACCGCGCGGTAGGGGGGGGGGACCTGAACTGAAGCGAGACAATTTTTTAATTTCAAAAATATATTAGAAAGCGCTACAATCTCACAGTGATTCAAATATCCTCACTAGCAAGGGTTGTAAGTTTCATTATTATGCATCCCCTTTGGTAAGGGTGCAGGGTAGAGAGATTTATACCACGATAAATTTAGGATATTTTCTCATAAAACTCTTAATTATAGAGATAAAATATGAAATTTGGTTAAAACATCTACCTACATAGAAATTTCAGAATTCTTAAAAATATAACCAACTCTCAAGCGCTATATCTTTTTTAATAAACATTTTACAAAAAAGTAGTGTATATCAAAGTTGTGTAGAATTTTATGGTCTACAATTTCTGATAACAATTTTTTTCTAAAGTGAACCATTAAAAAGATATGACTAAGAAACCAACCACATTTCAGGGGTTTTGGGGGTGGCACGGAGGAAGCACAAGGGGGGGTGGGAGGTCGAAAACTTAGATTCTTAACCACCAGTTGACTGTCTATGACATGCAAAAGAAATTGGAAGTACTTCTCATTTTGCAAGTTAAAACCCTCTATTCCCTGGACTAAAAGTCGATGCCCAAGAGAGTATTCGTGGCATTGGTTAATACAATGGAAGTTGTAGATATGGTACGACCTTTCAGACGAAGGTTCACTAAAACACATCCCTGTTTTTGTTAACCTTTGTAAACCTGCATGGGCTTGCAGTTCCAATGCTCATTTTAATTTACCAAAACCTGTTAATAATGGCTTATCATGGCCGAAATTCTAAAATATTAATTTGCCATCGTCTTCCAAAAAAGAGCTTTCGGACGCATTGAAATATCTGGGCGAGAACGGTTGCAAACAGCGGGCGGATTAATTGCAGCGTTAATTACGGTAGCGGCGACTCTAGAAATTAAATCGATTAACTTTAGCTTCTATCTTTCGTAACCAAGCGCCGAAGATTATATCAAATGTTAAAATGCGAAAAAGGATAAACAATACCAAGACTGATTACATGATTGCCTACGAAATCACGAGGCATAACAAAGTTGTACACAGAATTTCTTTGCAACGAATAAATGGACCTTATTGACACTTTCTAACAATTAAATACTTTTCAGCACCGAAGCAATTTATGATTTACAGCCAAAGAAATTTGGCAGTCAGACTTGTACCCGATACCTCAGATTCGCCAGAGGCCGTATTGTCAATTCAAGGTCTAAAAGGAGTTAAAGGCATTGACTTTGATCCAGTTCACCATTACTTATATTGGGTAAAATTCCAGCACACTCCTACTACTTGCGATAATTATCTTATGTCCTGTAGATTGAAGGGAAGACTCACGCAATTAAACGGGCATCAGAATCCGGACTGTCTACCAGTATAATTGTGCCAGGTAACCAAGGTCATAATCCGTTCGACATTGCCGTAGACGTGCTGGGACGCCTGTTATTTTGGTCGTGCGCCTCTCAGGATGTAATTAACATAACTCGTTTAGACAACAGCTCCACGGTCGGCGTCATCATTCAGAAGGAGGGTGAAAAACCGCGACTTCTAGCCATTCATCCCACCAAACGGTTTGTACATTTATAATTGATGCCCGCCTCACCCTCTTGATGCAGGTTAATTTTCTACACCGACGTCGGCAATGCGCCACAATTAATTAGAACACGTCTGGACGGTACTCAACGGATAGTTATCACGCGTGGTAATGATATTGCTGCAATTGCAATCGATGCCGAAAATGACATGGTGGTATGGGCGCAAGGGCATAGCATCTACATGTGCAATATTGATGGCGATAATCAGTGAGTGGATTTTTGAAATACTTTTACTTCTGACAAATGAAAATTCGGACTTATTTCCCAAAAGACCAAAAGCCTTTTCTCTCTTTTTTTAACACTATGCAAGTGACAAGTAATCCAATCCCAAATTTGCACTTGTCTTCTACTCATAGTAATAAGTTGACAAATATTTACAAGAAGTGAGTTTAAAGTACTACGTTATTCTTTCAGACACGTTGTTTTCAATGAAAGCAACTCGCGGGTTACTCAGCTTGCCATTCATACCGGTTGGTTATATTGGTTGGATCGTGAAATTCAGCAGCTTCAAAGGTTGGAACTGAAAACTGGAAGCTCAAGATCGGTGGTACTAACTCACGCGGCAGCTGTCCTCGACTTGGTCTCGGTGAAACAACCGGATCGCAATCACACTTGCATGCACCTGCGCTGCTCACATTTGTGTATAATAAACGGAACCAGTCCAGTGTGCGCGTGTCCCATCGGTTTAGCGTTGCAAGATGATAAAAAGACCTGCGCCGCCTTGCCTGATTGTGGTAGTGATCATTTCACGTGTATGACACAGAGTAATCATAACAAGGACTGCATTCCTGTGGCGTGGAGGTGTGATGGACAAGCGGATTGCCCGGATGGTTCAGATGAGGTGGGCTGTCCCGCTTGCAGAGTCGATCAATTTAAATGCCAGAGTGGACAGTGCATCGATCAGAGTCAGGTGTGTGATGGCGTTCCACAATGTTCGGATCACTTCGATGAAGTTCATTGCTGTAAATCAAACGAGTACAGATGTCCGTTAACGGATGTGTGTATATCTTTGTCACTCTTATGTGATGGTATGGATAATTGTGCTGATGGGGCGGATGAAGACCGCTCTCACTGTGTGGATCAAAACAAATATATGGCGTCATACAAAAGTGGGACTAGCACTTTAATCGTCGTCATTTTTATAATTATTTCAGCAGTAGTAGGATTTTCAGTGCTGTTTCTTGTCATAAGAAAACGATTAAATGGCAACAATGCAGTTTTACATGATCAATCCGAAGACCCCCTCAGTCCCATGCAGCCACGAGCACGAATCAAGGTGCATAGTAAAATACCCGATGTCGTCCACATGTCGATGCTAAGCGGCAGTCACAGCTCCAGTTACGACCGAAACCATATCACCGGGGCCTCGAGCAGTACAAACAGTTCAAGCAGAATGTGTTATCCACGCGAAACCTTGAACCCACCTCCGAGCCCGGCGACTACGGCAGCTTCAACGCGAGGGAGTAGTCCTACGACACGCTATCGACCGTACCGACATTACCGATCGATCAATCAGCCCCCGCCACCCACACCGTGCTCGACCGACGTGTGCGATGAAAGCGATTACAATTATCCCACGCGTTGTCGATACGAAGGAGGGCCCATACCTCCGCCACCCACGCCTAGATCTCATTGTCATAGTGAAAGTTGTCCTCCATCTCCCAGTTCTCGTTCATCTACATATTTTAGCCCACTTCCACCACCACCTTCACCTGTACCTTCTCCTGTTAATTGAAAGATATTTTTATAAATACCATATGTGCCTTAACTTAAGGCTGTTGTTGTAAATACCGTATACATTACGTGTAAGGTATAATTATTTTTATTAAACTTTACCTACAAGCGTTTGTTTCTTTTCATTCGTGTGCTAAAATATAAACAGTCGCCCACTGCAATACTGGTCGCCTCACAAATTATGCTGTTATGTTTTCAACTATCTAGCTCATGCGAAGACAAAGACATAAGTTTTGCAGTGGACGGCAACCTGCGTGATTGACGTGACTGCTTTTATACTAGACACGTCTAATAGTTTTTTGATACCAAATGCGAGTCAAAACTTCAATCATTTTTTCTCCATAGCTGCTTATTTGGTAAAAAGCTTTTTACTATAGTCACAGATAAAATACCATTTTGCATTATGGTTGTATTTAGTAACACTGCATTTGGTTGGCAATCTGTTGGGTATTTTATCTGTGCTATAGCTCGGTCATAAAGCACAAGACTGCTTCATTTTAACCTTCATTATCAAATTTCATCTTGTTGCTTCCCTTAAAGTAAGATTATTAATTGTTTTGAGGGGTAAGTCGCTCATATACTGGGGATACCAGGGGGTAAGGCCTTTTTTTCTATCATAATCCTTTCATCAACTATTTACCTATAGATTTGAGTCACATGTAGTTACGCTGACGATCCACTTGTATTATTTTGGTGGAAAAGGCAAGCATTTATAATGCTCTACTCATTTCGAGTTTGACACAGTCTCACTAGGTAATACTTATTATACCTACTTCATGATCTTTAATCTAGTAAAGCTAAATCTATTGCGCTAAAGTAGTAAGCAAAAGGAGTATCGAAATTATTGAACTTTAAATTTACTATTTGATCTAAATCGGCCCTAAATTTAACAGGAGACAGACCTGTCTAGAAAGGGATAAGGCACGATTTCAAGGAGGATCTGTCAGTTGGTTAATAACAGATAACTCATTAGCCCATTTTTTCTTGCTATTTATTTAAAATTTCATAAAGTAAGTAATTATATAGTTTTTAATTAAGATATAGGTACGAAAAAGAACCCCATTAAAAATTTTCTCTAAATAACGTCGCTTCTTTGATCAATTTGAGGAAAGTATTGACTGATGGCCAATCCCAAACTGACACGCAACTTTCTGAACGCCAGGACAGGAAGACTTTTTGTCAAGATGTCCGTCTGCTCCTCCATTGACGGAACGTAATGGATCTTGATGCAGCCGTTCTCATCAGCTTTTTGTCTGGGCAAGCCTGGAACTGGCCGAAATAACTGGCACTAACATCAGCCAAATCCGGTAGGGACGTAAGCGATATGTAGGTACATGTAGCTTACTAGTTTGCGGTAAGGGTGTGCTACCTTCTCGGAGTTCACTCCTTTTGCTAGCTTAAGTCGGGCGTACCGAGATAACATAACTTATCGGTTTGCTCTCTTTCGATCTTCATTCCAAAAAAAATTCGGACTAGTCCCATCGGTCATTTCAAACTCTTTCGCAATGCGGACAAGATTCTCAGTCAGACTGCCCACTAGCACGTCATCAACGTTTATGATAAGGATCACCTGATCCACTTCAGTTTCTGTGTACAAACGGAGGTCATTGCCGTTGCCGCTTTGTATGAAACCAATCCTTTTTACGAACGCGTTGAAGCGTTCATTCCATTGCCGTGAAGCACCATAGAGCGAGCGATTCAAACGACAGACGAAATCTTCTTCACAAAGCCTTCTGGCTGAGACGTGAATATTTCTTCTGACAAATCACCCTTTCAGAAAAGCCGTCTTAACGTCAATTTGCAGGACGACCATTCCTTTGCGATTTACCAGCGCCAACACTGCTCGCAATGTGTCCAGTCGGGCCATTGGTGAGTAGGGCTCCGAATAATCAAATTCTCGCTTCCGGCTGAATCCTCTGGCGACCAGCTTCGCTTTGTACCGTACTGATTTCTCATCTTTACCTATGACTTTATTTTGAACACCCATTTGCACGATATAGCGTTTCGTCTTTCCGGCAGCTTCGACAAGATCCAGGTTTGGTTGCGGTTTAACGCATCCATCTCGTCCTGCATCGACCGCTGCCACAAAGCCCAATCACTTCGCTTCCGCATTTTGGACTTTGTAGTATTTATGCCACACACGGGGGTATGTTGTGCTCGAACTGGCCTACCACAATACGTGCCGGTTCCGGTGATCCCCGAGTCTCCTTCCGTTTCTTCGAATTTGAGAAAATCCCTCTGATGGAGGCTGGCGGACTCGAATCTCAGGAACAACATCTAGTCCATTGAAAAGTTACATTTGGGGTTGCGTTTGTCCGAGGACACAATTTTATTTTTTAGATATCAAGGAGGGGTTAGTTTAAAGTTAAATCCAAGTTTGTGGGGTTGCAGCCCTTGTCCCGCGGCCGCCATCTTGAAAAAAGGGGTGCAAATGGTTTTTATGGTTTATCTGACAAACTATTGGTCTCACAAAAAATTTATTCAGACATATTTGAATAAGAATAAAATTCTCTACAACTTATTTGCTCCGATAACTTTTAGTCGTATATCCAAAAGTAACAAAGTTATAAACGAAAATTGATGAACATTTTGTAAAAAAATTTCAATTGGTTGTTATCACTTTTTTTATGGTCATTTTACAAAAAAATAACCTCAGATCATTTTTATAGAGGGGTTTTCAAGGAATATTTTTTATTACAAAGTTTTTCAATTTTATTCATTAATTAAGATTTTACAGCGCTACGAAACAAATACTAATTCTCTAGATTCATAAAATCAGAGTGTTCATTTTCGAGAATACTGTGCAGGAATAAAAGATAATAACCGGGTGGGGATAAAAGAACATCTACGTATTAGTGTTGCCTTTACGAGACGGCTGCTCAGAAGACCCCGATGTCGCAGGAACTAAGTCTTGGCACCGTTTGCGTCGCACGAAGAAACATCAGTCGACAGAAGTACAATTCGATAAGAACGCCGTACCGACGTTATCACAAGAGAAATTTCTTGGCAATGAGAAGAACAAGGCTAGTTTCATTGTACTTCTCAAAAATTCATTCTCAGAGGTGGGTTTCACTGTCGACCAAGCACAATCAGATGCAGACCCCCTCATCGTTCGTTCTGCTTTTGCTGCATCCCAATCGTTTGACTCAGTTACTATTGTATAGTTGAAGATATCGACATACATGTGTTGCTCACGACATTTGGAGCAAAGAAGGTTTTATGCACGAAAACGTCATTGCGGATAATTTGCTGTTTCTCCATGCTTTTTCAGGACGTAACACAACATCATCAGCTCACAACACTGGCAAACTAAAATTTCTCATAACACTGGAGAAACATCCAGAGTTAGCAAGTGGAATAGCGTTGTTCCTCGATCCTGCTTTGCTCACTGTCATTGGTGAATATTGTTTCATCTTTTTATATGGTGGCAATGAAGATGATGATTCTTTTAACAGCATTAGATAACGATTCGCCAAATCAGTGACAAAGGGTAGGTACATTTAACTTGTTTTCAATTCCAACGCAGCCTGGTCCATCAAAAAGACTAAGGAAACAGTAATTATGTCATTAAGAACATTAGAAAGGTACGTTAAAATCATTAATATTTATGTATAGTTTAATACTGGAGCGCTATAAAATCTTAATGAATGAATAAAATCGAAAAAGTTTGTAATGAAAATCATTCCTTGAAAACTCCTCTATAAAAATGGCCTGATGTCATTTTTTTGTAAAATGACGAGAAAAAAAGTTATAACGACCAATTGAAAATTTTTTAGAAAATGTTCATCAATTTTCGTTTATAACTTTGTTACTTTTGGTTATACGACTAAAAGTTACTGGACCAACGTTGTAGAGAATTTTATTCATATTCAAAAATGTCTGAACAAATTTGTTGGGAGACCAATAGTTTGTCAGATAAACCATAAAAACCATTTGCACCCCATTTTTCAAGATCGCGGCCGCGGGACAAGGGCTACAACCCCACAAACTTGGATTTAACTATAGACTAACCCCTCCTTGATATCTAAAAAATAAAATTGCGGACTCTGGCAAACGCACGCTAAGCCCAAAAAAATGTAACATTTCAATGGACTAATCTGCCTATTCAAATACATTCGGCTGGCAATACTCTTGCGTTCGAAGACACGTGGGCTAGAGCATCCCAAATCGCTTTCGGGGTAACTTTCTCTAGATATGCTGGAATCTGTATCCTTGACACTTTCTATCCTGCTTCTGCCGCTGCTCGAGTGCCACCTCCTTCCGTTTCCGCCGAATCGCCTTCCTGCACCTTTAAAGTAGGTAAGCTTTGGTACTATCATAATAAACACTGTCAGTCTCAGTATCATAATTCATATTTTGTGGCAGATCACCATAATTGCGTAAAAACTGAAAGCGTGAAACAAAAAGGGTGGTCCGAAAATATCGTAAGATAGCGATCATTCTACAAGTGAAAAAGACAACGAATATAAAAAAACGGGGACTTGGATGTGAGATGCAAGTCGAAGCTGGACTGCGGTACTAAAGGTCCCTGATTCGATAGTCCGGGTTCGGGAATGGATATTTGTAAATCTATAGTGGGTTGGATTGGTATAGAGCAGCATTGGTTGAAACCCCGTCCATTCAAAAATAAAGGCAAAAATAAAATAAAATGAAATCCAATTTACACCAATGTTCTCCCGTGTAGGGGCGGGAGAGAATACCCCTATCGCAGATGGCACTGCGTGTCGTAAGAGGCGACTAAACAACTGTTGGTCGACCGTTTCCTAGTCATACCTTCTTCACATTTTATTAGACAATCGCGCTGTATGGAGAGTGAGATGCTTTCATTTAAAATTTCCCGTTTGTTCATTTGTTCCTGAAATCATAATAATGTTACATGCATTGTAATTGTAGTTTTGATTTACAACATTTCCTTTTTCATGGTAGCTGCATTTCTTTCTGCATTTCTTTTTAGAAATAAGAAACAGGCGCATTTTAAGTGGCGGATTAGATTCAGAACCTCGATTTAAATGGAGAAATGATTACAGTTCGTTTCATTGTATTTTACTTCCGATAGACCTTGAATACCAACGGGCTAATTACAACCAAAATATGGTCAATGACATCACGTACCTGGGTATGTGAGTTTCGGGGCAAACGAGTCTCTTCGAAGACAAGTCAAAAAAGCAAACCTAGTCTTATTTGTGAACGTACAAAAGATAGCTAAGAGTATTTAATGCTTCCCGTACTAGGTCCTCGGTTGCTACAGAAGCTGCTGTTTCCGCGATCTTGATTGGTGTTTACACGACTTTAGTTTACCCTGAGATTCACATATCCACAACTACAGTGCCCCTATCCATGACCACCAATTTTGTGTTGAAAGCATAGGGCTATAATAGCAGTCCGTGTACTGTATGGTCTAAGACAGGCATCGGTATAAAAACTTCAGTCTGAGGGAAGCCGGTTGTGGGTTCGAATTCCGCTGCCGACTGCTCTGTATGCCATTTTATCAGAGGGATTTCTTCAGACATACGTAGCTTCGCATAATATGCTAGCATTATGTTGAAATCTACGACGCGAATTCTGGAGCAGTACTCCTCCCTCTCAGCACCCTAACTCGCGTTCCTTCCGTTCCCATCCTTAACTTTACCCATCCTTACATTCCCGTTCTCTGATTGAAGAAGACCAGGAAACCGTGATCAGTCCGCCTCCGGTATCCCTCAGGGTTCTCCTGCTATTATAGCGAAGGAAAACTTCCCTACGCCTACACACCTTCTGCTCCTATTAGCGTAGAAATACCAACCCTCTCATAGTGTGTCATAATCACGATGTTCTGATGTCACCTCTTTCGACGACTTCGAAGAGGAAGAGGGAACACCTTAGAAGCACGCTAAGGTTCTCAACTACAGACACCGGTATCCTCTTGACCATCAGCGACCCCGAAGCGTTTCCGCAGAGAAAAGATAACTTGGGAGCAGGTGCAGCTGATCCGCGTTGCTGTTCCTTATGAAGGAGTCTGCCTCTGCAAAGTCAGTTTACAAGATCCTCGACGTTTTGTTATATCGGCTTTCACTCATCCCAATCGTTAATGTTATATCTAAATAGTTTAGTGATATTAGTTAATATACTTATTGTTGTTATACTGTAAAAAAAACCATTAAAAAGACCTACAGACACTAAAAATCAAATCTTCAAAAAACTATACCATTTCAGTTTTCAGGAGTTTTCGCATTAATTATTTGAATTGGAGACGTATTAATGTGCGTACGTACTTTGGTTTCAAATACATCCGGAGAATAAGGAAATTGGATCAGAAATTCAGAACACTGTCCTGTTGGCAATCCAAAAAGTGGTAATTTAGTACAATGTGCTTGAGCGGGTGAGATCTCTTTTAGTTAATGTGATTCTGGTATAAATTGTCAAGGGTCATGTTCATCAGGTAGGGCTGCTCTAGACAAAATGTCTATTTCGTCAAATAATTTCCAAATTTATTTATAAGGTGTTCTTTTATGTTTAATCATGATTGAAGACACGGTCTCAAATTGCAATCCTGCTGCAACCTCATCAGAAACTTTTGATAAATTGCAAATACTGAACAAATTAAACTTTGATTTTATTTTCGTATTGGAAAGTTACACACAATCACACTGTATGATGTTGAAAAATCAAAAATTCATCGCGATGCATGGCACCGTTGCGCACGCCGAGACGTTCTAGCGCAAGATCAATATAGTAAACGCATATTGTTTTTGCAGTAAGCAGAAAAATAACCGCATTAAATCAATTTAATTTTTCGTGTGGGGGATAAAACAGTCGTCAGAACGCCTAGTAAAGTGTATCCGAGCCCTGGCACGGCCCAAAACGTATGGGCTTTGCCTCAGACCTCCTGTAGTATGGTAGCGGATACAGATAATCCAAATAACACGATCAACTACGAAAGGGATGCAAATAGGTATTCCACGGAGCAAGAGTCGTCGGACGCGTACGATAAAACGATTTTCGATGTAGTTAAGTCGGGGTAAGATTTAGGAGTTTTTTTTCTCTTCGTTTGCTTGCTGAATGTGCTTTTTGGCGTCCTCCAGTATGTCCTCGATCTTTCTGCCTTTTTTTAATTGCTCTTTTATGTATTGGAGTAACTTGTTGTTCTGAAAGCGACTCTTGACGGTCGGAAGTTGTATATGTAAATGCTCACCTCTGCAGCAAAGTATTGGCCCTCGCGAGCTTTTTGTAAGTCACTCCACTTTCCACCAGCGTCCTTTATTGAACCGTAGCTTCTGGAATGTAACTGCAGGAGATTTTTAAAAATTCTAGACATGATCGAAATGTCATGCGCATAAAAAAAGAGCGTAGAGCAAACTTGATTTATTTCAATTTTGAAGTACATTTTAAGATTTTGGTTCGTCCTCGTGGTCAACTTCCGTTTCATCGACGTCTTCTTTCGCTGGTACGTTGCTGGTGCTGTTCTCGCCGTATAAAATCGTCTTTAAGCGCTGTAAAAATGCTTGTTCATCCTAGACAAAGATCATTAGAAAAAAAACTAAATTTTTGAATTGGGTTCTTTGCGCTTACTTCGTTTTTACCCGACGTCTCATCTCGTGCCATCGCGGAGGTCCTAAATCTCGAAATTTGTAAGTGGTTACACAAGAATTTTGTATTTCGAAACATGTTTAATGACATTTCTATTCAAATTTTACGTACATACTAGATTGGACCCCTCTGGCATAGTTTGCTTTGATTTTAATGAGCTAAACTAAATTCAATAGCTGGTTGACCGAAGAGATTGGAAAGCAGATTAGCTACCACGCACAGAAAAGTCAACAATTTATTCATAAATCGTTTCTACAATTTATCTCGCAACATTGTCGATCCTCTCCTTGGTCTCCGTAATTAGATCATCCAATAGTTTGCCATTCTTCAATTCATTAGCCGCATAAGTCATAAACTCTTTATTCTTGGTGACGTAGCAATCTTCTTCCTTGAGAGACAACTTCAGACTACTGCTCTGAGACTGCCCATGCTCTCGTTCCAATTCCGCGCTCAAATCTTCAATCGTTCTCCCTTTTGCCACTTCCGCTTTAACATAATCCAAGAACTGAACGCGCTGTTGGAGAAAATTTTAAAACGCAATCCTAATATTATTACACTAACTTTCTTTGTGAAGTATTCCTTTTCGTGGGCTTCAATTAGCTTCATCCAAGACTCGTTGCTTTGCATTCTTCGCTGTAAACCTCGAAGTAAAGTAAAACCACGAAACGGAGTACACATTTTTTACAAACAATTTTGATTCGTTTAAATGACACGGTCCCACTTGATACCAAATGTTCCTAAATAAAGTGCATTTTGCAGGGAAACGCAAGACATAGAAAATCTTGTCGAAAAATTAGGTGTGCAAATTCTGCGGGCACGAGACGAATGGGGTTACACGCCGGCTCACTGGGCAGCCCTAGATGGCAACGTGGAAATAATGCGTTACTTCATAGACCGAGGCGCTCCGGTCGACTTGCCATGCTTGGGCACGCAAGGGCCAAAACCGATACACTGGGCGTGCCGAAAAGGACACGCGGCCGTAGTTCAAGTCCTTCTCCAGGCGAAAGTCGCTGTAAATTCCGCCGACTTCAAAGGACTGACGCCCCTAATGACAGCGTGCATGTTTGGAAGAACTGCGACCGCCACGTATCTGTTGGGAATGGGCGCCCTGCATCATTTAGTTGATATCAATGGCGATACAGCCTTACACTGGGCCGCTTACAAAGGCCACGCGGATGTTATAAAGTTACTGATGAATTCTGGCGTAAATTTACAAAAATCCGACCATTTTGGATCTACTCCTTTGCACTTGGCATGTCTGTCTGGTAGCGTGCCTTGTGTTAAAATTCTATGTGAAAAAGTATGATATGGTTGCACTTTGAGACATTTGCCTCAACTTACGCAATTTTAGAGTAGTATTGACTTAGAGCCGCTTGACAAGAACGATAAGACCCCTTTGATGTTGGCCCAAAGCCATCGCCATTGGGACATAGTGCAGCTATTACAAGCGGAAAAGAAACGTCGATCCAGTTGGTTTCCGCCCATCTCCGACATTTGGGGGTTGCTATACGGACGTGCCGGTAATTCGAAGTGCCCACTGGTAATTTTCATGGTCTCCGTAATTCTCTGGGGTTACCCCATGTACATAATTAGAGTAAGGAGCCACCCCCTTATCACCTCCACAATCTCTAAGTAAACGCTTTTAGTGCATTCCAATCACATGGCATTTACTGCGAGGGTCCCATTACTGTTTCATCTACTGGAACTTGGTAATGTGGATTTGCTGGATAGTTGCGAATCGGCGAGATCCCGGTTACGTTACCATGAATTCTGACTGCTACTACAGGGCAATTAATCAAATTCCGTACTTCGATAAATGGAAGAAACGAAACTCATTTCTCAACAGACTTTGTCACAGTTGTAGATGTCTGAGACCGCTTCGAGCCAAACATTGCAGAATTTGTAACCGATGCGTTTCCTATTTCGACCATCACTGCCCATTCATTTACAACTGCGTCGGCCTCAAGAATCGCCTGTGGTTCTTCCTTTTCGTAATGAGCGTCGCCATCAACTGCTCGTACACCATTTATTTTGCGACCTACTGCATCGCAATTGAAGGCTTTGGAATTATGTACATTCTTGGATTGCTCGAGGCTTTCGTCTTCTCGGGACTCGGATGGATACTAACCTGTACCTCTGTAAGTGACCACACCATTTAATTTTTGAGTCAAGGTGAAATATTGTTTCAGGTCCTGCACGCCTGCATGAATCTCACGACGAATGAAATGTTTAATTACAAAAGATACCCGTATTTAAGGGATAAAAGAGGTCGTTACGCAAATCCCTTCTCCAGAGGTCCAATTTTGAATTTGATTGAATTTTTCTTTTGCACGCCAGATGATTACGATGACGATGATTTGTTTTATGAGTATATATGAGGGAAAAATTAGGCAATTTCGAGCTTGTAAATAATTTTTTAAATACATAAAATGATAATTTTTGCAATAAAAAGCTTTAGAGTTAGTAAATTTTCACTGCCCTTGCTCTTTTGCAGTGCTGCGTTCCATGGCCAGAGGTTGAGACGGATTTTTAAAGGTTTAGGGTTAGGATCGACAATTAAGATTGTTTCCAATCCCAAAGATACACAGGCCGCTTGTAGCATACTTATTGATGTGAAGAATTTCTTTGTACGAGCCCTGGTTGATAACGGTTGCATCAAGATCAGAGCTGGGCAGTATTCGATTTTGTAAATACTTTTTAGTATTCAAATCCTTTAACGTATTCAAATACTTTGTAATTAAATACTTTTATGGAAGCAGTATTTGTATTTGTAACTCAAATACTTTCACAAATATTTAGTATTCGAATACTTCGCAAGTATTTGGATACTTCGTAAAGTATTCGAATACTTCGCAAGATATTTGAATACTTTGAGAAGTATTCGAATACTTCGCATAGTATTTGAATACTTAACCTTCCTTTTTTACCAAAAATTGACTACTCCAAAATTTCTCGGGAAAACACTTTTTCTTATTAATTTTGGTGCGTAGAATCCAAAACAATTCGTACTTTTTCGATTAGACTTCTCAATCCAAAGTTATAGACTAGAAACCAATTTCGAAAGAAAATTCAAAGGGCTGTAACTTTTGAACTAGTAGCCCAATCTTGGAACTGTTTGAAATTATGGATTCTATAGGCCACATTCTATAAGAAAATTTTTTTCCGGGTCGATCTGAGACAATTTTTTTTTCGGGGCTCAAAAAAAGGCAATGTATAACCTTCCTTTTTTACCAAAAATCGACTACACCAAAATTTCTCGGGAAAACACTTTTTCTTATTAATTTGGTTGCGTAGAATCCAAATCAATTCGTACTTTTTCGATCAGACTTCTCAATCAAAAGTTATAGACTAGAAACCAATTTCGAAAAAAAAATCAAAGGGCTGTAACTTTTGAACTAGTAGCCCAATCTTGGAACTGTTTGAAATTATGGATTCTACAGGCCACATTCTATAAGAAAATTTTTTTCCGGGTCGATCGGAGACAATTTTTTTTCGAGCCTCAAAAAAAGGCAGTGTGTAACCTTCCTTTTTTACCAAAAATCGACTACACCAAACTTTCTCGGGAAAATACTTTTTCTTATTAATTTTGGTGCGTAGAATCCAAAACAATTCGTACTTTTTCGATTAGACTTCTCAATCAAAAGTTATGGACTAGAAACAAATTTCGAAAGAAAATTCAAAGGGCTGTAACTTTTGAACTAGTAGCCCAATCTTGGAACTGTTTGAAATTATGGATTCTACAGGCCACACTCTATAAGGAAATTTTTTTTCCGGGTCGATCTGAGACAATTTTTTTTCGAGCCACAAAAAAAGGCAGTACTTTTAAGTTATTCAAATATTTGAGAACAATTTAGAAATGTTTAGGGAAAGTTTCCATTGTCACAAAATCAAATATAAAAATCCGATACAACTGAATACCGAACGATCCTGGAGTGAAACTTTTTGACTCGATAGTCTACGTAGCTTAAAAACAATAGGGACCTTTCTTATATCCTTAAGACCATGTGTACCAATTTTCAAAGCGATCGCACTTTTCTAAACAAGTTATCATGCACACGGACAAACGGATGGTCAAAAATGGATCTGTTCCAAAATCGCTGGTATTAATTTCAGAAAGGCGTACGTATCATGTGCACGACGTACGATCGCTTTGAAAACTGGTACACGTATTCTTAAGGATATAACTGGTATAAGAAAGGTCCTGGTAGGTACCTCCTATCTAATAATATAATAATAATAATACGCTTTTACTCCCCTTAAATTTGTATATAACAATAGAAATATAAAAAAAGCTAACCCCATACAAAGTATACCTTCATTTTTTAAGTAGTATTAAGACTTTTATCTAGACTATTTTAAATTTTTAATGTATTTGAGTGACAACTATTTGAATACTTTTTACTGTATTCGAATACTTTTCAAAGTAAGTTAATGAAATACTTTTCAAAGTATTCGAATACTTTTTATAGTATTCGAATACCTTTGATATAGTATTAGAATACTTTTGAAAGTATTCGGATGCATTTTAAAGTATTTGAATACTTCTTTTTTTTAAGTATTTGAATACTTTTCAATGTATCTGTATCTAGTATTCGCTTGTGCTGGACGTAAAAGTATTTAGTATTCAAATACCTTTGATTTGTGTAAAGTATCTACTATTTGGTATTCAAATACTTTTTGAAAGTATTCTGCCCAGCTCTGATCCAGATCCATTATGTTCCATCAGTGGATTAGCAGGCGGACATCTTGACCAAAAGTCTTCCGGCCCCGGTGTTCAGAAATTTGCGCACCACTCTGGAATTGGCCAACTTCGATGTTTCAACGGGCGTGTTGAGAATCCAATTCCTGAATTGCGTCTCTGGTTGCGCTCCGTGACAACGTCCATGTTTTTGTAGTAGGTTAGAGACGGCGTATTTTATTATTTAATCATCCAATTGTCCCATAATACTAAAACCACGTGTAGGTAGCTATCCCGAAGGATGAAAGGATTTTCTCATGTCGGCACTATATCTGCAGTGATATCAAATTACAGCTTTAAATTTAGGACGACAAAAATGTGCCTGTTTCGCTTTTAATGGACCACTCTATGTATAACAGTTTTTAGAGTTATAGAATCGTAATAAGAGCGCAAATCTTCTCATTCTTCCGGAGATCACTCACCACCACCACAAAGGAGCATTTACCTACGGAAAATATATTCTATAAAAAGTGTATCCAATCTGTTTTCTAGATATTTCGTTACGGAAAATTCGTCTCCGGAATTTTAACCTCCAGAAAATTCGCTTCTAAAATGAGGAAGAAGGAAAATTTGCGTCCAGGAAAACTCCACTCCAAGACAGAAATACTCGTTCTTCGGAATACCTCGACATGTAATATTTTCCTAGGACCGAATTACCTAGGGCGTGTTTTCCTAGGTTTCGATTTACCAAGTTCTAATAACTTTAGGTATTCTCTCCATGGACACCGTTGTTGATACATTCGTTGTGCAGGTACTTATCTACCCAATAAATATAGGGAGATACAAAAACCGGCTCTTAGAAAACGTTTAGCATTGAAGAGTGGTTATTCGGGAAAGGGGATGTCTTCCAGGTCGCTAATATGCCGGTGTCAAATTATAATGATGCGAACTTAGATAGTGTCAAATTTGATTGCTTGCGAAGATTTTGAAGTGAAGAAGAGGGTGAATCTGTGAATTTCTCAAATATTGGTGAATGGTGGTGTGCATGCAGTCAGCAGTGTTATTTTAAATTAATGCTCTCTTCCTACAGGTATATGCGCCCTTAACCTCCCCCTTCTCCACAATCTTTAATTTGCAGGAGTGCTCAGTGAAAGTTAACTCCGGTGCTGTCAATTGTATCATTTTTATCTTTGCTAGAGCATTGCGGAATTTAACGGGAACTTGTCAGGGGGATCACAAAATTTATTTTTCTTCGTTTTTCTATTGTGTGCATGTTCACTTGGTATTTATCCGTGTAGAGTCGGGGAAAGAATAACCCTACTGCAGAGACACTGCATGTCGTAAGAGGCGACTAATCAACAGTGGGTCGACCAACAGACGTTTAGGAAGAATATGCATCGTTTTCGGTACCTTCTTGCAAGGGACTCAATCAAAGGACATCTCCCAACTTCGGACTAATGCAAATCTTCCGATTTCGTAAATAATTACACAAAACATGTTTATAACAGGTATATTAAAATTAAAGGAAGCGCCCAAAGAGCTAAAATAAAGTAAAAAATCTAAACTATAACATTTCTAAACTGAGTAAACAGCGGCTAGTATTCCAAACAGGCATGCGTAAAATATAAACGATATTCTATCGATAGCAGCCGCGAATAATATCCAGTCGTGTTGCAGTGGTACCTTTCGGCCAGTGCCTATAATTTGATGGTCATCTCTGGTTTGGTGCTCTTCAAAGTCGGTCACTTGATGATCACGCATTTCTTCCGTGGTTACCCTTTGCGAGTGCAAGGGATTCTGGAACTTTTTCGATTTTCTATCTTACACATTTCATCTCCATCGCTTACCTCTTTAACGTAGTGCTGTAAACCTAACACCCGCCCTAACGTTCCAGTGAGCGGTTTCTTAATCACCCATGGTAACAAACGGGTGTGCTGTGTTCTCGACAGCCAGATCACCGCGACCGAAATCAGCATCGAAAAACAAACGACGTACAGACTGCTACTGTAAAAGAGTACTACAAGCGAACATTTAGGGGAGGCTTTTTTGTGTATGCGAACCTATGAGTGGCGTGTGGGAGCCCATCGCTGGAATTTTCTGGGTGAAGTAGACCATGAAAATGCTTATGATGATGGAGGTGCATCCGTTCAACAGTACCTTTTCGCCGGCTTGTGGCGGTAACCAAAAGCCCATTAGTGTGAGCATGATGATTACTATACAAGGTGGATTAATTCGCGAGACCGGTTTTTGGAAACTTACCGACTGCGGGTGCGATTATTATCGCCTTGTATGCTGGGGATCTTCGCGTTAGGGTTAGTTTGAACTCGACATCAACGTAGGGCTCATCGCAGCAGCTGTAGTATTTGACGCTCCTAGTGACGTTACTGTCCGTTATGTCCCATTCTCCGTTGGCAATGACGTAGCTTAACTAAAATGATATATTATGAGTAACTTAGTTTGGTTCCAGCTCGAAGTCTTACGTCAATTGCACCGTCGGCAATTTTGATGTCGATTTCGGATCCATCGTAAGTCCACGAACCAAACTTGAGGTAGCAGATTTGAGTGTCAAAAGGCCAATATCTTAGGTTCAAGTCACATAGTGCTACTAATTGGGTGGGTGGCACCCATACGATTTCTCCTGAGGATTTAACAACGCAATGCGTTCCACCTAGATGACTAACAGCACTGCCACTTGCACTAAAAGTAAGATCCTAAATATTTGTTAAAAAAATAACACTGGGCAAAGGATGCTATTTACCTATTGTACAGCATGACATCGGGTTGCCAAATTTCGTGGTCGGCGAAGTTCACATCGCTTAATCCACCATAGTGGCTGGCGTTCCATTTCAATTTGTCATCGGTCCATGACTGAAATTGGCATTAATTTGACGTTGTGCTTCTATGCCAGAAACAACTTACCAGCCTGACCCAGGAATTAACACTAACCGTTGATTTGAATTCGTTAATTTCAACGTGAAGTATCGAAAGGCCGATGTTAACAGTTGTAACATTGTAATGCTGAGTGGGTCTTGCAAATTTATCGTAATTTAATAAAAGGTCTTGCTTTAAAGAGTCTGTGTAAGTAGCGTTCCAGATGGGTTTTGGACGTATCTCTAAAATAATAACTTCATTTAGCTCCCGGTGTCATTCGCACTTAACGCCCACAATGGCGCCTCAAGTACATCTTATCTTGTTGACCTTTAGTATATTTTAGTGAAAAAAGCAAAAGCAAACCATACGTGCAGGTGCAAATCCATTCGCTCCACCGTTCGAATCACCAAAAACAACCCTGTGGCATATCACAAAAATCACTACTACGTTTCGAAAGGAAAGTGAATCCATCTCATTGCGCTTGTAACATTTGTACGTGTAACTTGTACAGATTCTTCTTCAAGTGTATTTGATAAATGCATCCTGTTGACGGACGTTTTTATCATTTCCCACCCACTGGTTGTACTTGAATTTTATTAAATTATATTCAAATCATTTATGGTTGTTTTATTTGCCACTTAAAATAGTCTTTGCAAACAATTACGTGCAATTGAGATCTTATTATTATTACACTTCTCTTTAACACGCCGATTGTACTTTTCGTATTCTAAATTATTTGATTGTAATTTCATCTAGGATGATCTAATATTATGGATTAGGGTCATTTTAATTTGGAATGAGGGCGAAGCGTCTTTCCAAATCCTCTGTAGCCAGTACTTACCCATATCTAACTAGTAATTATAGATTGAGTCAAATTGACCTATTTAATATCACTTCACCACCATTCTTCATTCTCATTACCTATGTAAATATAAATTTTTGTACATCTAGGTACTCTTGTCTATTTCCCATAGTGCACAAATGGAGAGTTACATAAACAATACATATTAACAGATAGAGTTACATTCTCCCACAGTTGAAATGTATGATCACCGCAAAACACAATAACGACGAACATTTAGTTTATAAGTTGTTGGATATTGTAGTTAATAATATTTAAGTACATAGAACCTATTAAAAAATATTGGCGAGAAATACAACACTCCCCTAGGCCATTGAATAAAATGTTATTTAATTCCTAGGCATCATTGACCATGACCACAAGGAGACACTTAAGAATGCAAACATTTGATACTGTGGGCGGATTATACAGTAATTATTATTTATCACTTCAAATTTATAACATAGCACAAGTGCATCGAAATTGGTACTGCCTGAAATATGCTACAATTTGCTTATATAGTAAACTACAATTGTTCTAGAATGTTTTTAGAACGGTTCGAAAGGTTCTAGGGCAAACACGTCATTTTCCCGGACATTTCCTGTTGCTCTCTATCGTCGATCGTTCATGGCGCCTCGATGTCTATCGGTATTTCTGGAATATTCGTTACATTGACCATTTCTTAAGACTGTTTCGTCTCGACGGCCCCCTCGTGCATCTTCCATTCTTGAAGAAAAAGCCACCGTTTTACGAATCGATTGCGGGGTTCTACTGGGGTTAAATCAACAGAGCAATATTTCCACCCCGGCCTTTTGTTACCAGTTCCTGGCTGGGTCTTGTACCAAACTTCAAATCACACGGCAATACGAGTTCTCGGCCAAGCAACACGAAACCTGCACTATCCTGTAGTTTTCTACACCGCAAAACGGTTCGCCATCAAGAACAATTAATCCCAATCTCGCTGGTGATCGGACACAACTTTTGACAGATACTTCTCCGTTGTCCTATTCATGCGTTCTACCATTCCATCTGACTGTGGGTAAGGCAGTTTCTCGTCTTGCGAATTTCTAATAAATGACACAGGCTTTGGAATAGCGCTGACCCGAAATTTCTTCCTTGATCAGAGTGTAGTTCCAGGAGTACTCCAAATCTGATAAAAAAAGTTCATTTACTAGAGCGTCTGCCACGGTTGTCGCTTCTTGCTTTGGTACTTAGCGCTTCTGTCCATTTACAGAAAAAGTCCATGACCACCAAGATGTATTTGTTTCCCAAACCTGTCTCCCGAAAGGGGCGTGCTATTCTTTCAAATGGACTATCCACATTGTATTGCCTCATTGGCGGTTTATTCTTTCCTACTGGCCCGTTGCTTGTGGCACAAACTGCACACTTTTTGTTTCCCATTTAAACTGCCGTTGGCCATAAAATTTAAGATGCCGGATCTGCTGAATAGTGCTACCTTCACTCACGATCAGAATCAGAAGCTTAATTACAAATTGAAAATGTATTTTTAGAAATAAAAGGAGCTAAAGTTGTTTTTCAAAATTTTCCGACGACCACAATACTTCAGGGACTAGGTTTTCTTAAAACTGATACGTTTGACCGTGGGCTAACACATTTTGAGTAAAAGGTAGATGTAATATTTTCCGCTGTAACTTTTTGGCCAATAAGTGACCAGAATTTAGAATCGTCCACTGGTACCAAATCGATCGAGCTCGACGCACCCACTTAAATTCGTAATGGGTAACAGTCGATAGCACAATTTTTGACAAAATTGCGTTATTTTGTAAAGGGAAATACCAAATAATGTGAATATGCACAACGTTATAGGTTTGAAAAGATACATTGCGAAATAATTGGCCCACTTTAGTAGGCATTTAGTGATGGGTTAAAACAAGTTACCTTGACATTTTCGCGAACTAGCGAAAATTATTCAAATTAGATTAGAAATTTTGAACTTTCATAACTTACGGAGAAAAGAAAATTAAATGAGTTTTCGCTCTCATTTACGTCAAATTTTTTGGGAAATTTGTTAAATTGAGTCGAGGAATGTATTATTCATTTGCAATAAATGCGTAATTATTACATAAGGATCTGAAAGAGAGAGTTTCACTTTAACTTGTTTTAGTTACGAGGTTATTGCGAACCTCTTTAATCAAATTCAACACCAATTTCAGAACTGTTAAAATGTGCACAAGTAACTGAATGTAGTTTGGGAGAAGTTTGCGTAAAAATTGAGTGTGGGATTTATCAAAACTACTACGTGAGTATGTTTTTGGCGATTTTGTGCAATATTGTTATTAATATAAGGGAACTAACTATTTGTCGAGTTGGCGAATTCCTAAACTGTACCTCAGAGCTGGGCCGTATTCGATTTTGTAAATACTTTTCAGTATTCAAATCTGTAATTAAATACTTTTATAGAAGCAGTATTTGTTTTCTTCTCAATCAAAAGTTATAGACTAGAAACCAATTTCGAAAGAAAATTCAAAGGGCTGTAACTTTTGAACTAGTAGCCCACTCTTGGAACTGTTTGAAATTATGGATTCTACAGGCCACATTCTATAAGAAAATTGTTTTTCCTGGTCGATCTGAGACAGTTTTTTTGCGGGCCTCAAAAAATGGCAGTGTATAACCTTCCTTATTTACCAAAAATGCGACTACACCAAAATTTCTCGGGAAAACACTTTTTCTTATTAATTTTGGTGCGTAGAATCCAAAACAATTCGTACTTTTTCGATTAGACTTCTCAATCAAAAGTTACAGACTAGAACCAATTTCGAAAAAAAATTCAAAGGGCTGTAACTTTTGAACTAGTAGCCCAATCTTGGAACTGTTTGAAATTATGGATTCTACAGGCCACATTCTATAAGAAAATTTTTTTTCCGGGTCGATCTTATTTTTAAATTTTTAATATATTTGAGTGAGTATTTGAATACTTTTTACTGTATTCGAATAACCTTTGATAGTATTAGAATACTTTTGAAAGTATTCGAATACATTCTAAAGTATTTGAATACTTATTTTTTAAAGTATTTGAATACTTTTCAATGTATCTGTATCTAGTATTCGCTTGTGCTGGACGTAAAAGTATTTAGTATTCAAATACCTTTGATTTGTGTAAAGTATCTACTATTTGGTATTCAAATACTTTTTGAAAGTATTCTGCCCAGCTCTGCTGTACACAGTTTGATATATTCCTCAAATAACCAAATATTGGAAATATTTAATTGCATGCAAAAGAATACAGATTCGGGGCTTGTTTTAAGGGTTTTAACTAGGGTTTTAAGGTAGATAATTTTGGAAAAACCATTATTTTATTGTTTAGGCACGTTTCATATGAACTATAACAATTAAATTTTGAAGAAGTTCACATTTATTTTTGTTGTGGGTTTAACAAATGTGAGCGAGTAAACAAGATTTACACGCGATTTTTAGAAGTCTCTAATTTACATGCCATTATTTTTTGGATTTTAGCTTCAAAGGAAACGTAGGTACTCAAAATATGATGTGATTAACACTTCCAATTCAAATTCCATTTCATGCGTTGCTTTGGTTCATGGTGCAAAGCAGTTGTTGACCTTATCATAATAATATTGATCCAAAACTGTTCGAAACTGTCACAAATTAACAAGAGCGCAGGATTTCGTGTGACATTTTGTTTGATTTGGATCCCACTGGTGCTTCAAACGGGTAAAAAATGGAGGGTCATTTTTCACCCCTTTACTAACGTAGGGGTGGTAAAAAGGGGGGGAGGTCCTCGCCGCCCCGTCCAAAAAATTCTTTTCGTGATGCAACACCCTGGTTCTAGAGTGCGTCCAAATTTTAGTCTCCTCCCTCTTTGAGAAAAAATCAATAATTATTTGTTCCACCAATATTCTTATTTCCGGAGATCAGGTAAATTGAGAAAACCTTAGAATATTACTTCCTTTTTCAATTGAATTGGCTGCCGCCGAAGCACCACCTATCCGTATGCATGGACCCTTCTGGAATTTTTTCAAAGCCAATGCCTTTTATATTAAATGCACCCTCGTATAAACTGATTGGCATTGCTTCCTCTACATTTGTATTTCCAGTAAACGCTTCATTTTGGATATCTAAAGCCGAATCGAATTTTTGGATTTATTGTATTCAACACAAAATATTTTGAAATTATTATGCAAACCCCTGCAAATTTACGATCACTATATTAGATACGGCTCTGAGCTCTGATTACATCATTTGGGATCCGAATCAAACACGTTTTGTCAACCCTTTCTTAGGAAGTCCAAATATCGACGGAATTTTTTGGTTAAAGGGTGTGACAGAATGGGAACATGTATTTGATATTTGATTGCATATGCAAACTGTTTGGGCATAAAGAGAAAATCCCTAGAAAAGTTTGTCTAGACGAATTTTCCGATCTGAATGTTCTTGGGGTTCATTTTTCTGATGACCACTTCTTCCGCATTGAACTTTCCTCGAGAGAATTTAGCCGGAACGAGTTTTCTTAGGAACATATATCCTCTCTAGACGTGTCCATGTGAATGAATTTTTCTTGTAGCATTTTTTCAATGCACTTAATTCACTCGCGGCCGGGTTTCACTTGTGACTATATGCTACTGAGACGCGTTCTTCTAAGCCCCCTCACGAGGGTCACGTCTCCTGGAGTTTTCTTTCGAGCATCTTTCTTTAGACGAATTTTAATTACCAACAAACGCGTACCTACTATTGAACTAACCATCAAGACGGGATAAATAGTTAGACGATTGTTGTATGGTATCATTCTATCAAATTGGCATTTTCTGGTTAAAAAAGATAGTGAAGTAATTTTTAGGGCTGACACTGAGATCATCATAATACTTTGACCGAATGACGTCAATTGCAATGATAGTGCTTTTATCACACCTAAATATAATTAATTTATCTAGGCGTGTTTGTTGTGATTAATTTCAGCAACAATTTCCTGGACGCGTCTCGTTCGAAAAGTTTTCAATATGCGAACCGGCTTAAAATTGAAAATGAAAAGACTGAATTCTTCTTTTTTAGATTATGGACATTTTAACACGTTCAATCTTGCTATACCTAGTCTCTTTCATAGTGGTCTGCCTGCATCTGACGCCAAACTCCGCGCATACCAAAGATCTAGGGGTAAGCCTAACGATCGGCATTTTACAGCGTATAACTAAACTTTTAGGCACTTCCACCGGGAAAAGAGGACCAATCTCGAGGAAAAAGAGGATTTGTTATCACCAAAAGCAAACCAGGTCCCCTTCGGCAGGTATTTGGCATCTTCTACGAGGTAAGCGCGTTTCAGGCTGCCTCGAAAATAACACTTAAATTTGCAGCAATGGAACGACACCAGATTCACCTTGAATTCGATTAACAAACTCTTCAATGACCAATTTTTGCCAGAGAATGCTTCGGTAACCTTCAATATATACTTTGTAAACTCAATTATGTGAAAGTAAAACTATTTATCCATTAGTTTTCAATGTTCTTTCTAAGGAGGGTGTTATAAAACTAATTTCAGCTCACGACAACCACCCCGGCGGCCCCCACAAACGTCACAACGAAACCACCCCCGTTCAAGATAACCAGATCTGAGCTGTTGCGCATATTGAGAAGAAATATAAAGGGACTGTCACGATTGTATAATCTGGAACTGGAAGATGCACTAAAGGTAAAATGACGCCAATTATTATTGTATATTGTATTATCTTTTTAGCAATCTGAAATAACCAGAAAGCAGTTTAGAGCGAATGTAACCAAAGAAGTTGCGAAATTCTTGTGATTCCTTGCAACGTGGGAAATAATCTACTGTGATACATTTAAAATTAAGTTTTTGTTTATAATATAATTATGTTCTTAATTTAATGTAAATGATGAAAGTATTTTTATTGCAACACAAAGTTCGATGGTATACAACAAGTTGCATATCTACATACACCATCGTATATGATACTCTGGTCATTGATTTATTCAATGCTCTGGTCAAATGTTTCCATGATAAATGCTAAAATGCAATAAGTATTAGATCCTTTAGGTGAAATTTAAAAAATAGGGATAGGTACCCTCTGGGTGGGGTATTCTAATCACTAACAACTGATAGTGGTTTTTCCGATTGAAAGTAATTTATTGCGCCCCTTCCTTTTACAGCATTGAAATATTGAAAAGACGAACACTTTGTCATTTAGTTAATTAGAAAACGATTTACCATTCCCACTCTGTCCACTACCCTTATTCTGGTTTATTTAATATTCTCAAGCGCATAGCTAACAGTCGGCAAGAGGTAATTTCAGATTTTGTGGGAGGTCTAGGAGTAGTACGAGTAACCCTGGCCTTAATGAAGAGGGTGTCTGGTTGGATCCAGCCTGGCCCCCGAAATATTTTCGCTCCGAAGGAAATGATTGCGTTTTCGTGAGTTGTGAATTCATTCTGCCACTCCACTTCTATTCGAACACTTCTAGAGCGAGTTTCCGATGCGAATGCTCCAGCGCTGAATATTAAAGGAACAATTTTACGGACTGTATTATCCAGGGGACAAATATTCCTTGATGAAATATGGAGGCTATTTCAAAGTGTGGAAGGGTTACCCCTAACAGTTTTTGTATATTCTTGGTAGCACTTTCATTCTGGATTTGAGTTTGTCCAAATCCTTCTATTAAATGGAAAAATATTTGGAGAATTGGCGGAAACGCAGTCTTCTCTCCTCTTCAGCCGTTTCCGAAGAAAAAAATGCGTACGTAATGTAACATAATCGCCATTGCAATCTTTTTTTGACATGTATTGTGAACTTTTATTTCCTCCTTCCCCGCGAAGATTTGTAGATGGTCCCTTTTTGCGCTTTATTTTTAGCTGCTTAACGTAAAGTCCAGTTCCTTTCCGTTTCACTGTACTTCCAAATCTTTATTGCAGATGAACCATATAATACCTGACATGACATCTCTGCTTCTGACCAAAAATGTACCTCCTGACGATGTGATAATCTAATTTACTCGTTCTTTAATGTAGATGTTGCGGAATACTCACAATCTGAAAATTCGTCCTCGATATACACTATACAGTACAAGAAAAATTCGCCCTTAAAGGAAAGAACTTACTTGTTCGTCAGAAATTTGTTCGGTTAAGTTCGAACCTGAGGAATCGAAATTAGGAGTAGATAAGAAGAACAAATAGATTTTCGAGGTGATGTAAATGTTTTCCATAAAGAGGAAGAAAAATCGTTTTAGTCAATTGTATGTTCTTTTTCCAGAATGTGTAAGTTAAGTTTGTTTTCAGTTTTTACGTGATGTTTTATGGTAAAGTACGTAAAGAAACGTAATTAAACAGATCGTGAAATAAAGTATCACTCCACCTCTCTCCTTTATTTAAACGTTAGGGCGAACCACTAATCGAAAACCAGTCAAAAAATGCCATTGTTGAAAGTAACATTGACCCTCTTTTAGATTTTCTACAGTAGGTACCTACCTATCTGAATCTGTAAACTAAAATTTGTCATAGTGCCCAGAATTGTTCGAACAAGAAAACTGATCGAAGAAACCTGTTGTAGGTCAAAGCTGGAGACTTTGGAAACTAACCCCATTTTTTTTCGAAATTGGTTTCTAGTCTATAACTTTTGATTGAGAAGCCTGATCGAAAAAGTACGAATTGATTTGGATTCTACGCACCGAAATTAATAAGAAAAAGTATTTTCCCGAGAAATTTTGGTGTAGTCGATTTTTGGTAAAAAAGGAAGGTTATACCACAGATTTAAATATAAATATACTACAGATGGATCATGCCATGTTAAATTCTGGCAACGGTGATTTGGATTTAAGCCTCTGGTGCGTTAAATCCAAACTAAATTAGTGTTATTCCGAGTCCACAAGGAAGCGCTGTAGAATGAATAACTTGCGCGTGGTTTACAACTGCAATAAGAAAGACAAGAACTGTTGCGATAAACAGGGGTATCCGATTACACAGAGCCCAACAAATGTTGTATTGTATGTAACTGACCTTCCCCATTTACACTCGCAATTTTTCTGCTAGCATGCGTTTATGTTAGTTACACATACACATTCCTTTATATCGGAACTCGGAAGGGCGAACCGACGACTGATTATACCTTATTCTGTCAAACCAACAAGATTTGTAATTATGCAGGATGTTTACCGTATAATTGATTTATTTTTGATTATAAGTAGGTACGGTATTTTGTGCGATTTAGGTTCTATAATGCCTACATCTCTGATCACAGCTTGGCGTGTTCCGTGCTCGTATTTAGATTTTTAGAGTATTTTTAATGATAAGACGATCTAAAAGCACAATTATGACGTAGACGAAGTTTTTATTAATTAATCAGAGAAGGTGTTAGGCCTGTCTTTGTGAGAAACAACATAGGTACCTAACAATAGGCGTCTCTGAGAATTTAAGTCAAGTTAGCGAATATGAGTCGAATGTGAGATGTGACCAAACGCCCCGTTTTGAACGTGACAGTTTCGTTTTTAGTACACTTTTACTTTCAAAAAATAAAATGTGCATACTTTGGCGCTCTTGATATGTCTACCTGTCTGTCTGTCTGAGTCACAAAGGCTCCGGAACTACACCACTTACGGACTTGGTATTGGTGTCATTCGATCAGAAATTAAAAATTTTTTCATTTTTGTATTCTCATTAAGGCATAAAATGTTCATAAGGGCTGTTAAAATCGAAAAAACAGATTTGAAAATGCACTCTTCGCCTTTGCTCACATGCGGATTAATGATTTTTTTCCTTATATTATATTCTGGTTGTCCACGACAATCACAACAGGGTTTTATTTCTAGAAAACATGGTTTTCTGTAAAAAAAAATGCGGTATATTGATGGATGGTGGAATTCAAAAATATAGCAACATATGGACTGAGTGAGATGCCTCAAACCATGGCTCTACAAAATTGTTTCTCATCTTGGTCCATGATTTTTGACCACAGAAGGACGCGCAAATTCAAATCTTGGAGTTTGGATCCCAATCGGATATAATCGTTAAATATTGTAAGGCAGTATATTAACATTAAATGATTTAAAATCAAAAGTTGTGGGGTTTTTGTGGAGACAACGGTAACTGTAGGTAATTTTGGTGGCAAAAATAGTAAAAGGTGTCAACAAAGCCTTTGCAGTGTAGGTCGTCCCTGAAATAAAAACAAAACTTATAGGGATTGTTGATTTGAGTTCACCATTGTTAAAATTGACTTAGTTTTTTAACATTTATAGTGTTCGCATTGAAAAATACTCAAGGAGTTCTGCGACTTAGCTGATAGAAAGTATCAAAAACTGTTGGGTTACATTAAAACAAGGTGCCTCGCAGTGATGTCTGCATTCGAAAGAGTTTTCAAAATATTGTTATGTGAAAACACTAGGTAGTTTTTGAGCATCTCAATGTCTGAATATTTTGAAGTAGGTAATTGTTTGAAAATTTCAGCTCCGAAATTTGGTTGCTTTTTCTATACGCGCAGCCCTGTTAAAGATCGAGGCACAAAGCATATCTGCAATTGAGGCTGTTAAATTAATCGCCCAAGGCTCTAAGGGATAATTTGGCTGTGCCTATGAGACAAAAAGTTATTTTCTCTTCTCCGTTCCACTGGTAATTTATTGACGAAACTTTTAAAAAATTTGTGGTCACCGCAGTGGCGGATTTAAATTTTTTGCACCCCTAGGCACACCAAAAGATATGCGCCCCAAATAATCTTTAAATTGCAATACATTTTAAAATAAAACTCAAATTATAACATGAAATTTTTAAAACTAATATGAAAAGAAACTATCTACCAATTCTAATTTATTTCATAATTTTATTACATTTTTGTCATTTGTTACTTGTTAACGGACTTATTTTAAAACTTAAAATGTTACCTAAAATAAATATAATGCAAAAAAAATGCCGCCCCCTAAAGCTGCCGCCCCTAGGCACGTGCCTAGTGTGCCTATAGGTATGTAAATCCGCCACTGGGTCACTGGTCAGTTCAAATACAAGTTAGAAGCGTGTAAATGGGGGATTCTTATAGGTAAGTGCAATTTACGTTATGTGATTTTGATTACGATTTCTCTTGCGACTTGCGAGTTGCCATAACCAAATATTTCAAGATTCACATTATACGGTTTTGTCGTACGACTTGTGAAATTGTATCTTGACGTGCGATTATGGGTTCGACCTCGACCAAAACTGTAGAAGAAGATAGTAAAAACTAAAAATTACCACGTTAGTAAACCACGCGTGGGGATGGCGCCCAGATGTCGCCGTCCCCACATCATGTAGCCCCGTCCCTAAAGTTGTTAATTACACGACCCCGTATGGACACGTACACTCCTCGTCTTTCTACATGCGATTGTCTACAGGCCCTCATTTGCTGCCAGCGAGGCAGCCATCCAACCAGCCAGTCAGCCGGCCAAAGTGATATGAAAAGCTTCTATTAAGAACAAATGAAGATGCAATTAGAGTTTTGATATCGATCCTACTTTGCAAAAATGAGCTAAAAACTACCGTAGGCCTATATCTGGTCCAGAATTGCAGTTAAAATTCGAATTTTCAAAAACAATTTTGGATTCGTTATTTTTCTCTTAAAGAGACGCAGATACCAAATTTCTGTGAGATCGAAAATGTCGCATCCCAGTTCAGACCCTATGTTGGGGAAGTACCGCAGTAGACGTTACAATTTCCACGATATGTACGTGGAACCATTCTGTTCTTGGTATAGTCATGAATTTCTAAGGCTGCATGATAATGCGGAACAAAATAGTGAAGAAAGTACTTTATATTTTGAGATATAGTAGTAAATCCGTACGGGTTGTCAAAAAGTGCGGGGTGGCTATATTGCGATTACCGTTTTTGGACGTATCAAAATTTCATCAAACGTCAACGTTTTAGATCATTTTAAGCAACTTTTAAAGAATACAAATTTTACTGTCTGTTTTAACTCGTATGTACCTATGTACGTACATACGTTGGCAGATTAGGCATAAAGGATATAAACGTCATACTATTTTTTTTAAATAGCAATAACGCAAAATTTTTATTAAATTATTCGGAAGACTTTCTTTTTCTGTGTACAACCTACACAAATTATGCTAGGTTTTATTACAAATAAACTTTTTTTTCAAATACAT